GACAGTTGAAGCGGGGAGCTTGAGTGACGAGACGACAATGGAGGAGAGAAAACTATGGAGGGTGAGATTAATCAAAACCAGAGAGGGAGGAAGGAGAGCAGAGAGAAGTGAAAACCCTAGATGTAAAATGAATGGCTGAGAACTGAGATTAAAAATAATAAAAGTATTTATTATAAATAAGGTTAATCGTACTGTATTTCGTTCCAAGTTTCAAATGTCGGAAATGTAAATAGAAATATCTAAAAATATATATTTAAATTAACACGTTTACTATTTCTAAACCAGTTAAAAATAATTAATATTAATATGATGTGTAGTGAAATTTTGTTGATATTTGTTATATTTTGTAGATTTTTTTGGTAATATTATAGAAATGTCAATTTATCCCTCATGTCGATGTCGAACTCATTGATACATGGACATCTCGATGGACATATTGACATATCGACAGATATTTAAAATCGTGATTGGGTCAACTCGAATTTTTAAAGGACTAACTCGAGACCTGACCCAACTCAACCCAAATCGAGTTTAATTGACCATGAGTAGGGTTGAGTTGGTTTCGTCATATTGTCGGGTTTTTTTGAACACCTTATCACAAATTCACAACATAACATTATAACCCAAAAATAAATATAACAGCAAATAAGAGAAACGATGCATTTAATACCCATCATTTATGGTATCGAAGAATTTACTGAAAGACTCGAACCTTCATCTGGTAGCACCTCAACTACAAATCTCTACTTTCCACCTACTCTTAAGATTAGTTAATAAAGACATAAACATGACAGTTCCACCGGAACAATGACTACAATAAGCATGGCTAAAAGTAATCATAATTATAATAATATGTTAAGAACCACGAACACGAACATTGCAAGACGTCCATTTCTAAAAAGGTAGGACACAGACTAACTTTTAGATAAAATCAAACCCAAAATACTTCAGTTTTTTTTTACTAACTATTGAAAAGAAAAACAAGGAAAAAAAAAAACTCAAACCTAGCTAGTTGCAGCGGCGTAGCTGGTCGACAGCGTAAAGGGCGGGCAAACCTTCGATGATGCGATTGGAGGCCCAAGCCCAATACTGCCGGGGAAAAAATCAATTTTGACTATGTAACTGAATTTCTACCCTAAATATTTAATGTTTGAGCTATGATTTTGATTTATGTTTCCATTTTTACCCTCTATTTAATTTTCGTTAATTTGTTCATTTATACAGTAACTTTAATGGAAGGTCGCGTGAAATTTTCAAAAACTCACTAGTTTTAATCGAACTTTTCACAAAAAAAAATTGAATTTGATTCACGTACAAAATCATTAATGGAATAATTTTACAACTGAACAAACTAATCAGTTCTGGTATTGCATTTCCTCTTAAATTCTATCAAGTTTGATTTAATCATATTTTTGCGATTCATTCAACTATAATACTTTTGAATGATTATTCAAATAAAAATCTATCAAAAAAATAAAAACTGCAACCCTAAGGTGATATTTTGATTAAATTGAAAATGTTGAGTAATAATATTTTTGAAGTATTATTTCGCTTCTTCTTTTTTTAGTACAACACGTGGGAGAGATAGGACCAATACTGTCAATTGTAGACCTGATTATGGGCCCAGGCCCAATGCCCCCAGGGAGAAAAAAAATCAATTTTGACAGATTTAACTCAATTTTTACCAAATATTTAATTTCAATTTAAGAGTGTGGAGAAATAGTGTCAAATGTTGATTAGGAATCCACATGAGCAACTCTAATGTCTTAGGGTTTGTCTATCTAATTCTTTTGGCAAGCATACGTATACCCCTCTGCCAGCAGATTTTTTAAAGGTCTTTCAAGAGGCTTTTTCTACTCTATTCAATCTATTGATGAAAAGCTTTGGCTTCTTATTAAAAAAAAAAAAACAATGAATTATGGATATATATGGTTGGAAAGACCTATCAAAATGGTTTATTATAGGAAATATTTCCCACAAGGCAAACCCTCCCATAAAGTCACTCTAACGGCATTTAATCAAAGAACCCCTTGACCTCCATATTTAAATTGCACTGCAGAGCATGGTCTATAATCATTCAATATACCAAATTCTTTAGATTATGAGGTTAAAATTTTTACACTTTCAAAATCTGAACAGATGTTATATGTACCACCTTAATATCTACAGTAAGTTCATAGTATTAGATGGAGTAGAAAGATACCAGAATTTTCCTGTGGATGCAATCGCGCTTCAAGTGTACCTCTAACTTCTTTCGGAGTGATTTCTTGTTTTTCCTCCATGAAAATTAAAAGTTCAAAAATTATCTCTTAAAAGGATAAGGGAGACAATAGTATGCATTATAACCCTCCTCCCATGACATAATATTCTATACAATGTGGGAGAAGCTACAATTCAAATATAAGATAGCAAGATCACACATTCACAACATAACATCATAGTCTAAAAATAAATATCACATAAAATAAGAGAAATGATGAATTTATATACCCATCATTTATGGGATCAGGAAGCACATCATCCTCTTGTTGATGAGCAGTATCAATGGAATGATTTACTGGGAGCTCTGAACCTTCATTTGAGGTTCATTTGTTGGCACCTCCGTCTACAAATCTCTACTTTCAACCTACTTAAAGATTAGTTAATAAAGACATGAACATGGTAGTTCTATTGGAATAGTGACTACTATAAGTATGGTTAAAAATAATCATAATTATCATAATAAGCTAAGAAGCACGAACACGAATTTTGCAAGACGTAAATTTCTAAAAGGGCACGCACAAAATTTTAGATAAAATAAAACCCAAAATAATTCCGTTTTTTTACTAACTATTGAAAAGAAAAACAAGAAAAAAAAACCCAAACCTAGCTAGTTGTAGCGGCAATAGTAGCGTAGCTGGTCGGCAGCGACGACGGCGTAAAGGGCGGGCAAAGCTTTGCAGAGAATTTTCTCTCTTTGGGAAATCGGACGATTGGTGAAGAAGATGAGAGCAAACCTCATATGATGCGATTTGAGGCCTTGCTGCCAAAGGAGAAAATAATAATTTTGAAGATGTAACTCAATTTTTACCATAAATATTTAATTTCAATATTTTTATACCTAAGATTTTGATTAATGTTTCAATTTTTACCCTCTGTCTAGTTTTCGCTAGTTTTCGTTAATTTAATTTGTTAATTCATGCAGTAATTTTAACATAAAGCAATGTGAAAAAAAATCAAACTTTTCACAAAATTGAATTTAATCCACATACAAAAATATCAATTGAATAACTTTACGGCGAAAAAATTTAATCGATTATGATATTGCATTTCCTGTTAACTTCTATCAATTTTACTCTTATCATACTTTTGCAATTCATTGAACTATCATACTATCAATTTTGGTCGAGAGAATTTCTCTCCTTCGAAAATCGGACGATTCAGATAAGAGCAAACAAAATCGGACGATTCAGATAAGAGCAAACCTCCGATGATGCGATTTAAGGTCCAAGCCCAATAATTGCAGACCTGATAGAAGGGGAAAATAATCAATTATGAAGATGTAACTCAATTTTTACCACATAAATATTTAATTTCAATATTTTATACCTAAGATTTTGATTAATGTTTCAATTTTTACCCTCTATAATTTTCGTTAATTTGTTAGTTCATACAGTAATTTTAACATAAGGTAGCGTAAAAATTTCAAAAACTCACTAATTTCAATGAAAATCAAAATTTTCACAAAATTGAATTTAATCCACGTACAAAATCGTCAATTGAATAACTTTACGACGTACAAATTTAATCGATTATGATATTGCATTTCCTCCTAAATTCTATCAATTTTGCTCATATCATACTTTTGCAATTCATTGAACTATAATACTTTTGAATGATTATTCAAACAAATGTAAAAATTGCAACCCTTATCTAGGTTTAATGTGATATTTTGATGAAATTGAAAATGTCTGAGTAAAAACTAATTTTGTTCTTGACATAAATTATATTTAATAACTAACAAAATCAATATTTTAAAAATATTATTTATGTCAATCACCGTATCACATTGTTTCATAAAATGTCTAGATGTGAATAATTTTTTTACCCCCAATGTTTTCTTTGAACCTTTTGTGATGAGCTGAGAGACAATATAAGATATTTCAAATTATTAAATTGGTATTAAGGATTCTACTAATTTAACTTGACCGCTAGCTCTATCTTTACTCAATTTAAATGGCAGTGCAATCTAACGCAATTAACCATTTTACCTGTACTAAAATAAAATTAAATAAATATCCATTTTACTATTCTCCTTTCTCCTTTGCCTTGTATTAAAATATATTAGATAATAAGCTTATTTGCATCTAGTAATAAACAGGTAAATCCAAGGCAACAAGCATCATGACTTCAAATTGCCACGTGGGTAATGCTTCGACAAGCTGAACACACCGAGACCAACACTGAGAGCACCGGATCAAAAGAGCGACAAACCTAAACAATCTGTATAGAAGACATCTTGCGGAGGTGGCACTGACACCATGCGTCCGATTCCTAAATATGCTCCAAATAATCGTAAAGCACGTCGCTGCGCATTCTACTTAGTAGAGAGGGAATAGGGGTGTCAATGGTCCACCCGGACACCCCTCTCACTCTCCCTTTCTCTTTGGAGCCCTAATTGAAGTACCCAACAAACTCTTTCAAAAAAGAAAAAAAATCTTATGTGAACCCTAATTCTTGTCACACTACTAAGCCGACTCTCACTAAGATTCTTGCAATTTACTCTACATACGTCATACTCGTTTCCTTCCATCTTAAGTACTCAAGTATCGAAGTCCAATCTATAGAACACTACATCGATGATAGATGTCTGTATGCAAGTCTAATTTAAATGAAGAGACAAAAATTCTCAAAAATCAGAGTCAACCTAGATGTTTCGAGAGTTTTAATCGAAACTAATTTAAAATTACAACAACCGAATTGTAAATAAAGATGAAAAACTGTAAGAATGAAATTTAACCTACACTGGACATTGGAGTGAAAGGCGGTAAATTCTGAAAATTGGTTTTTACAACAAATTGCGACGTTGACTTCATCACATGTACGTACGAATCCGGTAATCGTTATTTCATCATTTTTCATCAAATTCACGTGCACGACACGTTGCCCGACTGCGGCGACGACCCATGTTCCGACCCGACCGGGTCGGACCCGAATAGCCGGTTTCCTGAGAGATTTCCTTTTCATTTTCCGTGTCAGCGGAAGAGAAATTACCCACGGCAGTGTCTGAAAACCAGTTCTAGATAGAGAGAACGGAGTTTTCAAGGATCTGAAATCTCCGATTGCACAAGTGGAGACACAGAGGTGGAGGCGAATTTTTGGCAACAACCCTAGACATGAAAAATCCCCAAATCTGAATGGAAACCCTAATCATAACCCGCATCGATCTCTGCGGATCCTCCATCTTCGCTCACTGTCGGATCATTCTGCGCACCTCACTCTTCTTCGCCGGAGGCTGACCGGATATTGTTTTACTCAAACAGGGGGAGGGCGGGACAGAGAGAGAGAGAGAGAGAAGTTGGTCGGAGATGGGGAGTCCAGGATCTGGTGCGGTTGATTATGGCGTGGGATCGATCGTGTGGGTCCGAAGGAGGAATGGTTCATGGTGGCCCGGTAAAATTCTGGGTGCCGACGAGCTTTCAGCTTCGAACCTTACGTCACCTCGATCTGGAACTCCGGTCAAGCTCCTCGGAAGAGAAGATGCCAGTGTGTAAGTTAGGATCCTCCTTGAATTCTGTAGCTATATCCTCATCTGTTCTTTAGTCAGCTTCATCTATTTCATTGGCTGTACCTTCACTTTCAGTGGCTTATTATCTGTTTCCTTGTTTGAAGCTTGATTACTGAAGAAATGTGGGAAATATCCAAGGAATCCAGTAGCAAGTTGAGTTTTAGATGAAGGAAATGCATATTTAGGAAAAGAACCATATGCTTTAGTATCCAAGATCAGACTAAATTATCTCACTATTTGCTATGGGAAACTGCAAAGAGAATAGAATTTGGAATAGATTTATTGGCTACCAGATGACTTTATTGGGTGTTTCTGTTCAGGTCGAGAAAACACATTGCTAAGAAAAACATGCCAGAAAGGATATGAATGAGTTGCATGCTTGTCTCAATTTTCATAGGATAGGTTGTTTAGAACTAGAGTAGATTACGTTAGTGAAAGATGTAGACATCCTTATGTGAGAAGATAAAGTAAGAATTCCGTTGCTTGTTATAGGCTGGAATTAGAATTTACCATTTCATGAATTCTTGAAACTCAAGACTTCACACCTAGGAAAGTTTGTTACATTTAAGTTCAGTGTCAAGGAAACACCGTCATCTGTAATTTTCCACTCTTTTTGATTTTTTTTTTTTCTCCAACAAAATACGAATTTTTCATTGTAGTTATGAAAAGGAACAAAAATTGTTCAAAGATACAAACTTACTTATGAGTGAAAATAGATAAAAGGCAAATAAAAGCAACAAAACAACCGAACAAGCTTATTACAAAACAATTACATCGGAAATAGCTCAATGAGTGCATGCACCAAATAGCCACCAATAGGTTTTCCTCTTGTCAAGTAAGCTCATGCCGAAACACTTTATCACAACTAGGTGAAGGGTACACCAATCAAAATCTGTGGCTAAGAGAAAAGTGTTTCATAATATCAAAGCAAGGTAGTAACAAAAATTTGATCCACCATTTCTGTTGCTAGCATTTTTAGGGTGGACTGGTTGGGTTGGAATATAAGAGTCTCCCTCCGGGGAGCTCCAAAGCCCCTTAGTTTCTTATAGGCAAGTGCAGAAATTTATGAAAGTCCAATTTTGCCTTCAGTTTAGAGGAAAGGAACCAAGGTCTGGTTCTGGGAAGATCAGTGGCTTCCAAATTCAGCCATTTGCTCGAGCCTTTGTGCTATTGCTCACTTGAAGGAGAAATTGGGCCCCAAGAGGCGGTCCAATTGGCAAGGTTTTGGGGTCTGTTGATCATACAGACTTGGAGGTTTCAAGTTCGAACTTTCAGGTGAGCTTAATAAGAAAAATCATCGATGTCTCTCGGGTCCGTGCCTGGGGGTGGGTGCGAGTGCCCCAAGTATAGGGTAGCAAAGCTCCAACTCCCTCTTGTTAAAAAAAAAAGAGAGAGAAATTGGTAGCAGAGGTTTGAGATTCTAATGGCTTAGATTGGAATCTAGATTTGAGAAGGAACCTACAGAGTAGAGAGTTTGAAGAATGGCTGATTCTTATGGATAGATTGGAAAATGTGGCCTTTAATCACCTTGAAGATAGCCTAATTTTGAAGGGTAAATGCTCCTGCAAATAGCCACCCTTTTGTTGTCAATGAATAGTGGCATGCTTTAAACGGAGCTGATGAACCAGATTTTGAGATTTAAGGTTTAGAATAAGGTAAAGTTCTTCTACTGGCCCTTCACGAAAGAAGCATAAACACTCATGACAAGGTCCAAATGAAGGTTCATATCTACCTCCCACACGTGTGCTCCAACTTCATGGAAAAGGATGATTTCATTAATCACCTTGTTTTGGCTTCTCTTTGGCTATGGGCTATAAATCATTCAAGCTCTTTGGATGGACTAGTTGTTAACATGAAGGCATAAAGGTGGTGCTTTTAGAGATTTTTCGGGTTGGTGGCTTTTAGGAAAAGCAAGGACTATCTGGAAGAATGCAACTAGAGCCATCATTTGAGATATATGTACAGAAAGGAATGATAGAATTTTCAAAGAGACTAGCAAACACTTTTCTAGACTTTGGGAGTCTGTACAGTTCACTGTCTAATCTTGGTACGAGAAATTTTCTTTGATTCCAACAAGTATCGTCTATTTGGATTGGGTTCTTCTTATAGGCTTCTATTTTGATTTCTCGGGAGATGTCTTATCTTCTTGCCATTTTTGTGTATCCTCCTTTCTCATAAGAAATGCTAATGTCTCTTGATTTTTTTTTTCAAATGATCCTCTTAGGACGCGATAACTACAAGAAGGTTATACATATAAGTTTAGATTTTTTTTCCTGGTACTCTAACATGTTGACCTTGCAATGATGAAGAGTAAGACAAAAATACAGAATCTTACTTCCGTAGGGATCTTCTGCCTCCAAATAAACTTTGTAATTCCTTTATGTTGCTTGAGATTTATTAATACTATGAATGTAAAAGGAAGGGATAGAGTAGGATTTGATGGTATCATCATTGCCCCAAAATCTAATTTTATCCTTAGTGTTAGGCAACAATTTCAATCAAGGGGGTGCCCTAAATTAAGCTGTCAGCAATAGAATTTGGAAAAAGAAACTTACAAAAAAGGTAAGAGTCTTGCTTTTACCACTTGCGTTGTGGAAGTCAAATACTAATGATAAGGTTCAGAAAAATTCTCCTGGATGCCATCTTTTTCCTGATTAATGTTATGAGCAAAAGCCAAGATGAGAACGAGGACTATCGTTTATTTTCCCCAGTGCATCTTGGCTAACTTGTTATGGAACAAGATTTTCAGCAGGTTTGATTTAGTGCCAAGCCACCCTCACTCAACTAAGAATTGTTGGAAAATTTCCGTGTGGGCCAGAAGTTGATAAGTTAAGCAGGAATCCTTTTGGAAAATTATTTCATAGGTAGATTTTTGGGGCACTTGGAAGTTGGACCAAAAGGGTTTGGAGAATTTTTCTTTTTTGACAAGAAACACTAACTTTTTATTGATATTTGGAAAATTACTAGCTAACAGGAAGGGCGGGCTTTTGTATGATTTTTCCCTTCTGGAGAGGGGACACCTTGCCCTTCGTTGATATTTGAGAAGTTACAGAACTCTGAGGTCTCTTATTTTTAAGTTTAGCTGGGATTTCCTTATTCAAAGTGCTATGCTAGTCTCTTAATTCTTTTTACTTACTCCTCACCTACTTATCCAAACCTGTTTCCTAATCAAGGAATTCCATTTGCTTGATGCACAAGTTTCATGCCATTCAATACTATTCTTATCATGTCTTTGGTAATTTGTTGGGTTTGATGTCATCTATAAGCACGAAGGTTGCATTGCTTGCATAGCCTCTGTGCTTCTCTTCTCTCTCTCTCTCTCTCTCTCTCTCTCTCTCTCTCTTTTTTAAGTATTATTATCATCAATATATAGCTTTTGTTATTCTAAACAAAATATCTTCATCTTCTTCCCAGGGATTGGTATAATTTAGAGAAGTCCAAGCGTGTGAAGCCATTCCGATGCAGTGAGTTTGATGATTGTATTGAAAGGGCAGAGTCCTCGCAAGGCATGCCAATAAAGAAGAGAGAGAAATATGCACGTAGGGAGGATGCCATTCTTCATGCTCTTGAACTTGAGAAGGAGCTACTGAATAAGCAAGGAAAATTTAATTTACATTCTGATCAAACGAATATTATATCACCAGCTGCTGTGAAGAAGGAAATACTTCTTTCTTCAGAACACTTGGAAACTGATGAAAAAAAAGATGCAGATTCTGAATCACGGCAATTTTCTAAGAGAATAGATGTAAATTATGACAATGAAATTACAGATCGATCTCATAAAGCAAGTGAAAGAGCTCAACTGAGTGGTGAGGATGACCATTGTGAAACAATACCAAGAATGAGAGGCTTGCAGGACTTTGGGCTCAGAATTGCTCCTTTCAAAAGAAAGGTTCCACCTTCTTCTGTTGTCTCAAATGGTTCTGAAATGCCTATAACTGATACCAATCCTCTGCCTCCTTCTGATGGTGTTTGTAGCATTGGAAATGAGAGCAATGCAAATGGTAAGCACTTTATGGTTTTAATAAAACGAATTATTGATTGAGGAATACTGGGTTAGGGATGTAAAAATGATCTCTCTCGCTCGAGCACTGCTGAACAGTGCCAAAGTAGACTACACCAGCTAAATTGACTGCATTATTTTTTACTACTTCAGGGATGGGACAAATTGGTAGTGCAAAGAGGAGCAAATGTATGTATCTTCCAGCTGATTCTAGTGATTCATTGGATTACAAAGAACCTTCTCTAGGTCAGGGTGAGATGTCAACACCCCATTTAGGACCGGGGGTTATGCCTTCTCAGCCTGATTCGCTGGTTGAAGAGAATGCTTCTGATTCATCTGAGAATGAATCTTCTGACTCAGAGACTGATTCTGATTCTTCCAGGTCAGATCAGGAAGTGGATAATGGCATGGCTGCACTTTCAGGTTATTATGTAAATCATATACATGTGGATGTTTATTTTATAGGAATTTCATTGTTAATTTGTGTGCCACAAATTTCAATGATGTGCTTTTATGACTTAGTGCTTTATCATCATTAATAGAATTGTCTTGTTTTTCTTAAACGATATTCGCCCCAGCTAGAGGCATCTTCTTAGCAGTTTTTATTAAATGGTTTGGGCATCCACACCTCCAATATTGTAATTGTAAATGGTATAGTACAATTGATGTGCTTAGTTATATTTCTAGGCTACAATTGGAGTCCTTCCGGTAGATGGTTTGGGTGATGCTGCGATGTCATGTTTTAGTTTTGGGCTTTGATATGTAATCCGGCGGGTTTCCAAGTAGGGCTACTGATCATGATTAATTTTCCTACTGCAGTCAAACTTATTCTGTCTATATACATGTGTTCACTATGGACGTTTTCTTCTTAGTTATATCCCCCTTAGCTATGCCAGTAGTATTGTAAGTTGGAATTAGTAAGTCCAGGCGTTCAAATTTTTTTTCCAGATTACATCAATTCTGAAGCTCAATTTTTAAAAATAAGAGGCGAGAAGTTCAATTCTGAAGCTCAAGTATCTATGCTCGTAACGCTTCTTTTAAATAGAAGGTTTGCTGATGTTTTTTTGCCTTCTCTTTGGTGTTCTGTAATAGATGTACTTGTTTACATGCAAAAATAGAATTTGTCACTGGATATGCAAGATACAAGTTGAATTTGTTAGATCGAGGTCTTGTTCTTGGTAATGGTGGAAAAGGAAAATTTTGAATTTGTCATTTGGTGTTTTGGAATGTGAGTTGTTTTATAGCTTCCTTAATTTTTTCCACCTCTGTTGGTTGCAACCTTTACTTGTAACTACAAAAGAAAAAAAAAAGTTTACCTTCCTTGAATTGTTCTTGGTGGTTAGATCTCAGGACTGTATTACTGGTTTGCAGTTGGTATCCTTTGGCTTTTGCTTCGTGTTTCTATTGCTTGGCTAATTTATATCCATATGTATTTGGGGTTTTTCAGATTCTACTTTGCCTTCAGAAAAGGAGCCAAGTACATTTGAAAGAACAGACACACAAGAGCATGGAAATATGAGCAGCGAGGAGCCTGATGATTCTGTGATTTCCGGTGACATGTCTCACCTTTATCATCATGACCCTGTGTCTACTAATGAAGCAGTGTCTAAGTGGCAACTGAAGGGGAAAAGGAATGTCCGTAATCTTTCAAAAAAGTCTTTTGGTGGAGTAGATGATGAACCATCAAGCCACCTAAGGGTATATGGGCAGACAAGATTTAGTCGGAATGACTATTTTGATGACAGCATGGAGGGAACTGATGCATTGGAAGAGGAATATTATTTGACATCAAAAAGGGTATCAAACAATCGGTATCTTGCCAGAAATTGTATGCCCGACTGGGAAGATCAGCCTGCTTTAAAAGGATATTGGGATGTCAAAAATACCTTGTATGGTATACGTCATCATTTTGGTGAGAGGACAAGAACTATACTAATCGATGTTGATCTGAAGGTCCAAGCAAGTTACCAGAAAGAGCCTGTTCCTATAGTCTCACTTATGAGCAAGTTAAATGGGCAAGCTATCATTGGGCATCCTATTCAAATTGAAACACTAGAAGATGGTGTTTCTGAAACTCTTCTTCCTGATAGTCTAGGGAATGGACCCTGTGAAAATGATGGAAGCACAGCGCTTCAACCAGCTTGGAGGACTGCGAGGAGGACAGCAAATGTTCGCATCCCACGCCCTCACTTACCATCGGCCCTGGATGGTGAAGAAGCTGGTTATGATTCTCCTTTTGCTGATCAAGAAAGGAAATCAAGATTTAAAAGAGTAAATACAGGGGTCCATAATCAGAAGGCAAGCCTCGGTAGGGGTGTGCCTCACATTCCCCGACCTTCTCATGATAGAAGGCTCCCAAAAAAGATGGCAAAGAAAGTAAGCTTATCATCTAACCAGAAGACTAGAACTTTGTCTTCAATAGCTGTTGAACAGAATTTTAGTAGCATGCCTATACATGATAATAGTGTAACTTGTCAAATGAATGGATTGAAACCAGAATCATCTGGGCCACCAACTGTAGCATGTATACCAGTAAAATTAGTATTCAGTAGATTATTAGAGAAGATCAATAGGCCACCCTCAAAAGCTACTTATAATGTGATTTTGTTAAATAACAATTCTAATCGAGATCCTTGACAAGTAGGTGTATACTATTGAATGTCTGAAATAAATGTATATCCCTGGTTCCAATTGATACTGATATCTTCTGACCGTGCCCGAACCTATATTGTCAGAGTTGCCAGCCCTTCTGATTCTTTTGGTAAAGCAAATACTGAGGATGAAGTTGAATATGCTTGTGAGGTTAAGAAACCTTATATTAGCTGCAATAAGTAATTAGGACCTTATTCTTTAGGTAGGTCATTGTGGAATCTACATAGGCGAATGTATATTTGGTTCAACACAGGATAGTTCCTTTGATCTATTTTACTTTGTTAGAAGTACAGTTTGAAAATTACAGGAAAACTGGAGATGGAACGATTGTAAATCTTATTTAGTTGTTATTCAAGGGTGGCAAATCTTCAGTTCCAAAGGACAATGTATTTGTAAATAACTCTGGCCCCGGTACTTTTCTGTATGACTATACTACAGGCATGTTTTTTAGTTGGTGATCCTTTTACAACATGCAATTGCTTTAGAATGTTTGTATCAAGATCTAGTATTTGTTGCAGTTCTAGTGTAATTTGCTTTTCCTTATCCCTCACCCTCCCGGTGTCAGTTTCCCAAAAGCACTCTCTTGCTAATCCTTTGTAGCAAAATCTTGAAGGAAAATGTTACAAGGAAACCTTCTTTTTTTTTTCAGTTTGTTTTTCCTTTTCCTTTGCCTTCTATTGACATCTATATCTCTTAATTATTTGTTTCTAGAGATTGTTTCCCGTCACTTTGTACCAAAAAGGTTGTATATGCTTGATCCCCGAAAGAACAAATGAAGCTGAAGGGTTGGGTTAGGTGGATTTGCCTACTTGTAGGCCCATAATACACAAGGTGTTGGTCGAAAGATTGAAACATCTTCCTTCTACTACTAATCTTTGATTTCTAAGCTACGTTAATAATTGCAGATTTCCTTCCCATTGGTAACCTGTGGGTTAATTTCAGAAAAAAAAAAGGTTTGACTTTCAACCTTGATCTCGTGGTAGTGGATTTGGAGCTTCCTGACCATTCTAGGAGCTGGTTAATTTCCTTCCCATAACTAATCTTTGTTTTATGTCTACTAACTTTTAATCAATCTCAATGAGAAGTCTAGGGATTAGTCAATAGTTTTTAGTGGCTTGAGAAAAAGGAGATTTTGGAGTTGTTGGAACACACTGGTCTAAAATATAACTTGCAGATTGAATTAAAAAGGTAAAAATTATTGTTCACTTGCACCATTCAAAATTTTGAATGGAAATACTTCAATTACTTCAAAGATGGGTCATATGTAAAAAAAGACAATGAGAAATTCAGGGAAAACAAATTGTCAAAAACTAGCTAATCTAAGTATATTTTGACTAAATTTTTGTTCTAAACGAGTAGAATGCTATTTTCAAATAAACACACTCATAAACAGCCCCTTGCACGAGTAGGCTTCTCCTAAAAGCTATGAAGGTCAGTTTCATCCAGGGGTTTAGCGTTGACATGGGGAATGATAAACGCAATACTAAAATTTTGTTGAGATTTCACAATATTCAGTTTCAATTTATTTTCATTTCCGTTAAGTAAACAAAAGCTTCGAATTTTTACATTTAATTTACCTTCTGAAGTTCTATGTTTACCTCTTAACCTAACACCTCAACAAACTGTCAAAAACATATGGCTTCCCTGTCACAGCCCGATTAACTTTTAAATGGAGTTAAGCCAAGCCTGAGAGGAAATTTTGAAACTGAAGGTTGTAGAAAGTTTTGAACGGTATTGAAGGAGAGCATTTTCTCCATCACAGAAGAAATCATTGGCAATTAAGGAAAAATCAGGCCCCTAAATCAATGCATTATCAGTGGGAAAGAGAATGACTTTGTCAAGTCTAAAGGAAAGCTACATATTTTACCTGGTATATAAGATTCCTTGCTCCCCTTTTCTCTCCTCTTCAGAATACAGCTACAATTTTCTCCTGAACTTTGTGACGATAACAAGTGAAAACAAAATTGGTCCAACTCAACCACAAACCAACGAAACACTTATACAAGCCTGTGTTTAGCAAATCGCCTCGAGTAACTCCTCAAGTTCACTGCTTATCTCAATCTTGTCTTCTTTCAATCTTTGACGCATGTCTGGGGATGATTTTCCTGCAGCTACGTATGTCTTGAGCAACAGATGGTATGCACTGGAGTCTAGACAATTAAAACTCTTTAAAATCTTGGCAAAATCTTCAGCACCTTTAACATCTTTCTCTTCCTCGAAGTACTTCAGAAAAGCATTTACCATTGCCGGTGATGGATGCCATTCGTTGTCCTTGCTTTCAGATATAGCTGATTCCAAATGACTTAGCGCCGAATCCACTTGCTTCAACTTCAAGAAATAAATCATGAACATTTCTCGGGCCCTTAAGAAAGGTCCTTTACTCCTCTTAATGGCATCCTCAAAGATCAATGCAGCATCTTTGTACATGTCCTGGCGTAGGTAAGCCCCAATGGTAACAGCTGCTAACCGGAAATCAAAGATGGAGCAACTAGATTCCCATTCGTTATAAGTTTTTTTAAGACCATCAAAATCCTTTAGTTTGCTGAGAGCCTGAAGAATGACAAGATAACTTATATTATTCGTCATTGGATAGACTGATTTCAGTGCCTTCCATATCCTATTCACCTCACTCAGATTAGAAGTTGATGCATAAAGGCTTATCAAGAAATGGTACGCCAGACATTTCTGCTTATTGGATTTGATCTCTTCCTCTACCTTTTTAAGAGCTAATTCAGCTTTGTCAAGCTGTCCTACCTTGACATAGATAGCAGCCAAGTTAGAAAATGTCGTCCAATCAAATTTGTTTCTGTCTTCATTTTTCATCTCCTCAAGAATTTCTTCCACTTTTCCAACGTCATCCAGAGAAGCGCAGCTGTTCATCCAGACATTGTACGTATACGTGCTAAGAAAAATGCCTCTCTGCTTCATTTCATCTATAAGAGGAGGCACTTTTTCCGGTTGATTCATTCTCATATACATGGTCATGAGATTGTTAAAGGACAAATTGGAAGCAAACTTTAACTCATCTATCTTCTTAGAAAGAGCCAAAGCCTTTTCCTGCATCATTTCCTTGCAATAGCAGTTCAAAAGAGCTCCATAAGTAAATCGATTCTTTGCAGATGGTGACAGATCACAGAAATAACTCTCAGCAGCAGCAATTCCTTTAACCTTTGATATAAGATCTAAACGTAGTGCATAGTCAGTGAAGGAAGAGTTGATATTCCTCATCTCCATCCATTCCATTATCTGCAACCGAAGCAAAGGCAATGGATAAGCTAACATCTTATGGTCTTATGCGATTAGAGCAACTTCTTGGCTGGTCCAGTATGAAAGGATAGTAGACTACATCCATGATTTGTCATGGGTTGGGGGAAGGTTTGGGAGTCTAATGTCTTTAAAGCATCCTTGTGGAGTTCTCTCTCCAGAGTGGTTTTTCTTTGGATACTTCTCATTATATTTCATGAAAGTCTTAGTTTATAATCCAAAAAAATCTAACCAAATGTTAAAAGAACAAAGATTCTAACTACATCTGAGGCTTAGCTCTCCAAAAATTTCATGATCCAAGGGACCAACAGGAATCAATGGAAACAAAATAGCACTAGAAATGAAAACAATTGGCATTACAAAAAGAAAATTAAACAAAAAGCCACAGAAATTGAAAAACCGATGGACAGAAACAGTAATCTTTTGCATTTATATTTTGCACACTTCCAGTGACGGACTTAAGCATTTAAATTCGGTAGCATCACAATCAATAGCAACTTCAGAAACAAACCTGGAGGGCATGGTGGTACCGGCGATACTTCCGGAGCTCCTTTATGCATCTCTCGAGCTCGTATTTTTTGACGATCTTTCCCTCCATGATGAACTGGTTCAATGTCCGCGCCACGCTACCGCCGGAGGCACCCAGCGCCGACAGCCTCGGGTAGAGCCGCCGCTGATCATTCAGAGGACCACGCGTCAACTCAGCGGCTGAAGTGCAAAGCTGCCGTAAACCTGCCGGCGAGATTAAACTCCGACGATTCATTTCCCTCGAAAAATCACTCGTCCCGAGAGCGTGAATCCTCAGAGGTTTTGTTAGGGCTTAACCACATTTCGGCCCTTCGTCTACTTCTTCAACGTAGTAGTTTTTTTACAAGTTCGATCCTCCAAGCTCTAACAATAGCGTCGAATGGATCCTCGATTCTAATTTTATAGGTTTTAAATGCCTATTTGGCAGCGCAATCGTCTGCAATTGTATTAAAAGAATTTTTATTCGGTGACTATTTATATATTTCCATTTTTAAAAAATATTTTCAAATTGTATAGAAACGAAAACAATAAAAATAAACTTTTTTTTTCCTTTTCGTGTTCACATTTTTAATTTGTTCTAAAACATAAATCAAAATATTATTTTATCATTATTGAATTAAGGTGTTGTTAGCCATGCATTTTCATTTTTATTTTTCTTTACTATGAAGAATGAATCATACATTAGAAATGTAAATATTATCAAATGAGTCCTAATTTTTTTAATTTTCAATTAATGAATTATGTCTTTTATCTCTAAATTATGATTGTGTTTTTCAAGTCCATAAACTTATTAGGCATAAATTGAAAAGATCGTACAAGTTTCGACAAGGATAATTGGAAAATATCAAACCAATTTGAACCGCTCACATCACAGTAGTAGTAGCGTAAAGGCCGTAAGTCGAGGCCCGGTTTAGGGAAAAAAACTTTTCATTTGCTGCAAGGTTGGGGAAAACCATTCAAGCGCTGAGATAGAGATGCTTCCTTCCCCAAACCAACTAAGGGGAAGCACCTACTCCTAACAAAAGCGAAGCGAGCCGCACTACTAGCGTGCATCCATTTTTTAACTGGCTTCAAATTAAAGCTTGATTAATAAGTCACGACACTCCCACCCCTAACTTAGGTTGAGCCCAAGTTTCTCTTAGATACAAATTAAATTAAAAGGTCTAAAGAATTCATGAATTTTAAAGTTTTCAAATAGGTCAAAGATTTATTTAATAAGAAACCAAATAGTTTAAAACTTATTATTAAATATTTTTTAAAGCTTATAAACCTATTAAATACATCAGTAAGAATTTAAATACTAGACTTGTAATTTAACATTTCCTTCTAAATAAGAATAGAAATTAACATTTCTTTCTAAATAAGAATAGAAATAGGGTATCAACTTCAGTCTAGCTCAATTGATTACATATATCTAATGTATAAACATGATTAATTTACTAAATTTTAAAATAATGTAGGCCATGAGTATGAAAAACTTGAGAATATGATACTTGTTCAAAGTTTAACAAAAATAATGTATATTTAAATATGTCAATTTAAACATAGTTCAACGGATTAAAATATATATTATCCACCGAAATGTCAAAAATTCGTCATAGTCTAGTCATGTTCAAAACCAAAAATATTGATAATAATTAATTCCTCCGCTGTAAAAAGAACTTCCAAAGTTAATTTTTATTTTATTCTTGTTTTAGTTTTAATTTTATTCTTTCAAGCTTTGTCCTTCAAATTCGCATCTCACCATTTAATTAAAATTATTTGCCTTCGAATTCAAAATAAATTTCTCCACATCGTGTGTTCCGAGCTATAACCATTTAGAATTATAAGATGATTGAAACTTTTTTTTTCTTTTTTTTAGAGTCAAGGACAATTAGCACTAGTACAAGAACTAAAACCGAACAAATTTCAAAATAAAATACCAAAATAATATTTTACTTTTTTTTTTCTTCATCTACTTGTGGCTTGCATTATTTTACATTTTTCTCTCTTTTTATTTTTTATTTTATTTTGCGTGCTTACTAAAGGTGGGAAAAAAAAATACATGGCTGAGTACTTCTTAAGAAAACACACTAAAAATACTTCTAAAATGCAGCCAAAAGCATGAGCGCTTTCCTCAGAATATGTGAAAAAACAGACACATATAACAAAAGTAAATCCCCACCAACACTACTCAATTTTCTGGTTCCATTAATTCCCTTTGTTTCTGTCTTTTCACATGCTTATTACACTTAACAAGGATATTTCTCCACAATAGGGGAACTTTAAATATATGTTTTAGTTCCCAAGACGGGAATGTTTTTCATTTTAGTCCCTATTGTTTAAATATTTTCAATTCTAATCCTTTATATTGTAACATTTGTTTAATTTAATCTCTCAACATCGATGAATGTTAAAATTAGTGGATGATAAACTTACCTAGCATAGTGAATTGGAAGAAATCTAAAGAAAAAAATATCAATCAAGGAAGAATACTCAAATTTATAAGATAAATTTGAGGGAAGAATCAGAAACTTTCCTCTCTTAGATGACACTTATCCTCTATATTTCTATCAATTCACCTAATATTATGTCATGTAAATTTATCATCGATCAATTTTAACATTTATCAATAATCAGTAACTAAATTGAAAAATATTAAAACATAAAAGACTAAACTAAAACTTTTTAACAATAGATTCTAAACAACTCAATTAGGGACCAAAACATATATACGGAAACACCTTAAAATGGAGAAACCCCAGAGATCCAGAAGAGTGTTCAGCAGACCAAATCTACTCACCGACGGCAATGAAAGGAAGTCCCCTGTTAAAGGAAAAGCAAATCAATAGTTAGTTTTAGCTTCAGTAGTGAATGTACTCTCACCCCATGCCCCCTCGGACTCTGTCAAGATATCGATAATAAATAAAAAATAATACTTACCTCTTCACTTTAATGATTACCAATATGTTTTAGACAAGAGAGAAAATTATAGAAAGAGAGAAAAAAAAGAGCAAATAAGTCAAGGAAGAGAGCTGTTTCTCTAATAATAGCCCCTTTCTTATTATTAGTAAGATAGGGTGAAGACTTTTTGTAGAAGGGTTTTTTTTTTTTTGAGAGAGAGAAGGCTTTAAGTTCTTAGGAAGGGCTGTACGAGGCAGCTCATGTGCAATTCGGAAGAGGGTTACCATACAAACAAGAGTCTATGCTTTTACATAAGCTTTTTATCCAAAAAGGATAAAAACCTTGTGAATCTGGTACACCTAACCATTGCTACTCTTAACACCCAACGAGAACCTAAGAGATATTTTTCTCCTTTTCTTCTTGTTGTCAAATTTTTAGCGGTGATTAGTAGGACGATTCCTACCGACCCGTCACGATATAAGTATTATAAATAAACAAGTCACCATTGTCAAACCCAATTCATGGAGAATTTGATCCCAAATGGAATCCTCCGACCTCAATCCCAATTCATAGTACCTCTATGAAATTATGGATGGAGATTGTATTTCCTACCCAACCCACTCCAACGCCACCCCTTTTACAGATGGGAAGGGAGGTTTTATTTTATTTTATTTGTTTTTATAAAGAACTTAACTTTCAATGAGAAGGAAAGAAAGAATACACGTAGACAATCAAACGAGACTATGTACGAGCATTATGAATTAGTGTTTACCACTTACCAGCCACCATGTCTTGAGAAATAGTCATTATCAAGTGAAATAGCAAGAGCAACGGCTACAGCTCTCTCTGAAAGAGTAAGATGTCGGGCGACTTCCAGCTCTTGAACCTGTCACCATCAGTAGCACACAATATTGAAAAAGCGAATTGAAAAAAAAACTAAAATCAAGTTAAACATCAATCTAATACTCTTACTCCTCTAGCAGGGCCAGTCCTTGAGACGGGGTCAGAAGCACCAAAACGAATAACGTACTGACCAGCATCAGTAAAGATCTGCATCATATTTACAGAACAAAAGTTTATAAAGATATAGCGGCGGAACTAATTTCATCTACTTCAGAAAAATGATTACAAGAAGTGAGCAAATGAAAATAAGATTTTTTACTGAGGGAAAAGTTCAAACATTTGATGTGTCGATGGAAAAGAAACCCTGATTTTGGAGATCCGTACGAGTTTTGTTTCTTATTCTAAATCTTAAGAGAGAAAATTCTTGAACAATTTCTTTTATATACTTTACATATGATGCTTGAATTAAAATAAGAGAGAGAAAAATAAAAGAGGCCAGGCTGAGAGCAAGAAGATTATGGAGATATCCTCTTCATTTCCAAAATTCACATTTTGATAAACGGAAAGTTTCTACTTGTTTTGAAATACTATTTTATAATTAAGCTATTGCATGAAGGGAAAAGAAACAACCTCAAAGCCAAAACCTCTCCAGTCACGATCTATCTCAGCTAGCACTTCCCCATCAATGTCCTTTAATGTGAAGGTCCAACTCCAAAAGCCAGGATTTTCGACTGTTGCGAACTGCTTGTTCCTGATAGTCACGATTTAAAAGAAATTGTTTGATTCAAAATAGGTTATTGATTCCCTCATGACTTTGTATGAGTTAAATGCAACTGAGATAACCACAAACAAAATACAGAAAGGGATATAATAGTATACAAGGATGACACACTGATATCATGGATATATCATATCAATAATATGTCTAAGTAAATGTTAGTTAATATTGAGGGAAATAGGGAGAAAATCTTAGAAACTCAAAAATAATAAGACTTATGTGTTCTATTAAATTTACTAATAATTCTTATTAGCTATTTTGCAAGTATGATTAGATTCATGTGTTGTAGTTTTAAATTACCATAGGGAAGAAATAAATGAAAAGACAATAACAAAATACATCTTCCCGAACATTTTATTAAAATAAAATAAAAAATCATAACAGTTTTAAAAAGTGGTCTATAAAACAGTTTTATAATTTTGATAGATAGTTGGTGCTCAACTTACCCAAGGTACAGATCATACACCCTCCTCCAGAGATGCCATCGTCTATGAACCACACCAATTTCCTAGAGTTGTTTTTCAAACGTGAAAACATGATCATAGTGCCCAAAGCTGAAAACTTTCTTACTGTATGACACATAGAATAACTGAGCTATCATAATTCATACCTTACCATCAACTTCAGCATATATAGAACTGGTTATCCACCAAAAGGGCCGTCGGACCTAATATGCATTAATATTTCATTTTCAAACCAAATTATCTAAAAATCATATTTATTTGTTGCTTACAAAGGAAAGGAAAAAAATTAAAGTGCTCACCCTGAAAAGTTCATTACCCATTGCATCTGTAATATATGCCACAAAAGGGCGCCTCAGGCGGAGCAACTAATAGCAAAGTGTATCAAGGATTAGCCTTTGAAATTCGAACAAGATGAATTATTCATTTTTCTTATAAGAGGGAAGGAAAATAGAAATTGTGAGCAGTGTCAGAATAGCCACAATTATAATAGTTTATAGCTTTACAGTTGGTCAAAGTAGTATAAAAGGTTCCAAGTTGTACCTGTCTAGCAATGATGTTACTTTGCTCCCGGATAAACCCAACTGGCTATTAAAAAACGTTGAGGTATATAAGATTAGAGCAGATTTTGATAAACACAAAAGCAGGATAAAATAAAACTAAAAGAGCAACTAAAAAATGAAAAAGAATGCTTACCGACTGGGGATAGCACACGTCTACTATAGCATAACGATTTTCCTGCATTTCTCCAAATACAAGTGGTGATATAGCATACCCACAAACAAAAGTATCTAAAGGGAAAGAAACAGAAATGCAAGCAAGAATCTGATGATAAGCTACCAAAACATTTGTAATACTATTTAAGTATGAACGACTGCTTAGTGAAGATTTATTTTTTCAAACATCACAAGCAGTCAAGCTCCTAACACGTTCTTTAACAGAATTCAATACATAACATTACACCCAGTTTTCTAAACATGCAGATATAGTATAAATAAACATAAACCATAATCACCCAGATAACAGAAAGAGAGAAAAAAACGGAATATACAAAGAAAGAATGAGTCCGGATATGGATGCTTTTAAGAGGGGACAAATGCAGAATAAGCCCACAAGAAAGAAATGATGGGTTACCAAGATAACATTAAATGAGACAAGTGTGTAAAATCACCAATTTCATAAAATCATCAACATAATTCTTGCTAAATAAAAAGGAAAATTAAAGCTACAACAGCAGTTCAATAAAAGGATCTGTCAAATAACAAATACATTCCTTGCATTCCTAAGATGGTGCTAGGAGTTCGATCAATAATGACCTTAACCTCATCATTCCAATCCTTGAAAAAATTCAAACAAGTAATGACATAGAAATCCACACATGAATAACCAACCAGGAGCAAACAAGTAGTGAAAAAGAGTTACCTGCTCAAATCCAAGTACCAGATTTGCCCACTCTATATCCCTAGTAATAAGCAGATTAGACCTAGCAAGAAGAGGTGCAACTTGGACCTAACGAATAGAAAGATAAAAGGAACCATTCATGTTAGTATGATGCTAGAGTATTAAAAGAAAAGAAGAATCTTAAATACAATAAATTTGCACTTATGATAAGGTGAGAATGTGGTATAGAAAGCAAGCATTTTACTGTAAAATTCACACAACGACAAGAACACATTCCCAAATCAGCAATCATGTTCAACTCACCTAAGAGGTAAGGAAAAAAAGATTTTCATACTCAGATACTCAAGCCCAACCATACTCGCTTATCAGAATTTGAAATGAACTCAGCTCAAAGTGTAATGTTGTCTTTTTCCAAAGACGTGATGGAAAATATTTCTCCCACGTTGATGATAAACCTGAACGAATCCACTCCCATAAGTGGAATTGTTCTTAATGCAAAGAGGTGAAGTTCTAGAGAGAACACATCAGATTCAAAGAATTCTGATCTAATTACTAAAAAATTCAAACGCATAGCTCCCTAATCATTTATAGAGCGATAAGTAGAACAACCTTCTTTATTGTGAACGAGACTACTTCAAATTTGGGAGTCTAAGAGTTTTATATTAAGAGATTATCTACGGTTAGGCTCTTAACAACTCATCAATGGATCCCGTCATGATTTTCCTACCCCCAGAGGGAAAATCACTGAATCAAAACTGCTTGGCTGAACAACTAAATTTTAACTAATTAAACTACAGCCGATCAGCAGCTACAACAAACAAACTATATCACTCGCAATGAAACTATTACGACTTCTCAACAAATAAAATTGTTCCGACTGATAAAATGTTCAGTTAATACTAGTAATTCAAAATACTCAGGGAAACTGCAATTAGGAAGGACGAGGAACGAATGAACTGACAGTGCTGTTTAATATAAATTTCTTCATTGCTATGAACGGAAAGTAGCGGGAAATGCCCTTACAGGAACCAGGTCACTCCATAGAATCAGAGAATAATCGTATAACTTATATAATCTAAGGTTACCTCCTCGGGAGAATGTGGCTCAAGAACACCGGAGACAGATTGACTTGGAGGTGGTTGCTTCCATACTTTCCCTTCTGCAAAAGCAGCATCCGAGGTCGATTTCCCAAACGGGCGCTCAAATAACAGATTCCTGTGATTATAATGCGAAATCCGCTTTCGATTTCCATGTCCACCCGATATCCGTTTCCGTTTCTCTCTACTTCTTTCCAGCTTCCTATCTGCTTCCCAGAGCTGCGCCAGGAATCTCCTATCTAAAAGAGGATAATCATCGTTCTCAAACCTTCTTCCGAAATGACGATACGTAGGCGCAATGCTCCGCAGTGGCCGACGCGAACTCCTGGCGCGGCAATCTTCTCCGATGCATTTGCGAACAGTATTTGACAAAAAACGCAAACTCCTGGTCCAGTTCATCTATGATCACATCCACACAGCAGAATCAAGCTCGAGAGATCAAAATTATGTGTACGCATAAGAATGCTCGAGAGATTGTAGTTTTTTCAGAGGATGAACAGAGCCGAGCTTTATTTGGACAATATCGGCGACGGGGAGACTAGAGAGGGAAAACGGCAGAGAAAGGGAAAACCAAGTCACGGGAAATTGGAAAAGGGAAAATAAATTGAAAAAAAAAAACATAAAAAGAAAAAGAAAAACACGAAAAATTATCCATGAATAATCATCAAAATGTCCTTGCTAACTTAGGCATCGGAGCCCGTGTGACAAGAGTCACACTGGTCTAATTTTGTTCGGTTTTGCAGGTCTTTGATGTCCCGATAATCAAGTTTGGTGCGAACAATTGAAAAGGCACCCAACCTAACTAAAACATATATTTAACAAAACAAAGAGAAAAATGGGTTTGACTTAAAACTTTTAAAACCATAAAAACCAAATCTTAGAAACTTTAAAACCATACAAACTAAATTGAAAATACTATCTAATAACTAATTGAATTAAAATAAAGTTTAAATCAGATGCAATATTCTTGACGAGATAAATGGTTTGGTTTCGAATGTACAGTGAGCGTCCAATTTCGATAAAAACATTAAAAAAACTAGTAAATTAAAGTTACTGCAACAGCATTTTTTTTCTCTTTTGTTTTTTTTTTAACAACGCTTTGTATCCATCTATTTTTATCAACCTTATTCTAAACTTTCGATTTAATTAAATTTAACCTTAAATTTATCATTTTTACTTCCAACTCTATATCAATATTCATGGGTTCTATCTCAAAATCAATTGACAATTAGAGGAGTAGTCAATGTCCTATTACAAACGACATTGTTAGATCTCCTCTCTTTTCAATGTGAGATCCTTAACACTCTAACCAATAACATAAGAGTACTGTTGTCCAAAAAAAAAACGTAATGNAATGTAACTTTTTTTTTTTTAAGTTCGTTACAACCATTAATAAAAATTCTTACCTCTTGAATAAATTTAAAAACATATATCTAGTATCTAATTGTAATTTATAGGCTTTCATTAAAATGAAATATATTGACATTGGAGTTAGTTATTTTTATTTTTTCTTTTTTGCATTTTTTTCTTAAACAATACATTATTATTCAGTGGTCAAATAACATATTTAATTTAATGCAAAGCTTTATAAAGCTTAAATGGTTAGTAAAACGAGTGTGTGAATTAGAATTCACTGAATAGATGGTTAACATTGTTTAATTTCACGAAACTAAAATTCTATGGTCAACTTCGAGATAACTTTTTTGGATAACTTATGTTCTTATACTTTTTAAATTTAATTCATATTGTTTTAAAAGTTTTAATTCAGTCAAACACCGTTGGATATCGTTAAGATTTAGTAAAAATAAACTTACATAATATAATAATAAGTGAATTTATTGAAATTTAAAGAAAAAACGTAAAGTAAATGTATAGTTTATCTTCAAAATTTATAAAAAAATTAATAAACATTTTAATTTTATTACTTACATGGAAGTATTATACCACATAAATTAATCGTTATCAAATTCTAAGTTTTAATATTTTCTAATGATAAGAGACTAAATTAAAAAGTATTAAAATATAAGAGGGTGAACTAAAGTTTTAAAAAACTCGGGACTAAATTGAAAATTTATAATCGATTGAAAAAATTGAAAACTTTAAATAATATGTACTATATTAAAAAATACAAAATGCTACTATTAGCCTATGATTATCCGTATATAGATATCTTGTGCTATATTTAGATTGGGATTTTTTATYTTTTATTTTTTAATTTGTCTCGTTTAAAATTTTCGTCTTTCCATACTTAAAATTTGTCATTTGCACACCAAAAAACATATGTATATATATTTAAATTATGATGTCAATTTGTGCAGACTAAGGTAAATCCTGTCTATCTATTCTATATATAAAAAGGACCTGGAGAATTTTCTCCCTATTTTATCCTTTTAATTTAAACACTTTCATATTTCGTTGCAATATAAAAGTTTTTTAATTTCTTTAAAAATATTTTATCTCCGTCCTTACAAATTTCATTTTTCTTAAATTAATTTTATATTTGGAAAATTTTCCCTCTCAATAGATTATAATCTAAAGAGTTAGAATATGTATATTTTGTTAGGTTTCTTTCTATGAATTAATTAAAAAATTATAACTTATTTTTAGTTATAATTAATAAGAATTTAAAAAAATTTCGTAAGTTTTTTATTTTTCACAACTATATAAAGAGTATTTTCTTACTCTTCCTCTCAACTTTTTATTCATCAAAAATTGATATTCTTTTATATTTCTGTATGATTTTCTCCTTTAATCAACGACGTGCTGCTTTCTTCTATTTTAGTTAGATTGTTTGATCAAACATTCAATTTTTAGTTTTTTTGTTCCAATGCAATGTTAATAATTGTTATTTTAAATAATACTTGATTACCTACACTATATAAGTAATTTATTCAAAAAGTTTAAGAGATGACATACTTGCTATTTTTGTTTTGTCATTTTATTTTTCAATGCCTCAAATAAGAAATCAAAACAAAGTTTTATTTAATTTTATGCATTGTTATGTTTAGAAAAAAAAAATGAAAAATCTACGAATATATGTTTATTTTAGAAAAAAAATTAAGTAATTGATATTTTTAGAAAAAAAATTAAGTCATTTTTTTAGTCACATTAATAGTGAAATTTGATGAGATAAACATGGAAAATAAAAAAAATGAGCACTTGCAAATATCGCAAAAATTTTTAGTAAAATAAGCAAAATAACAACCACATTTAGTTTTTTCAAATATAACATTTTTTTTCGGAAAAAATGGAGGTCCAATTGTAAAATTACAAATTCACCATTTAATATATCTGTAATATATCTGACCACTGATATATATCTCTAATATAATAATTATATACAATTGATTTAGTTATGATATAACCATGATATCTACTCAACTTCTAACATGTCTTACCACTGTTATACGTATGATAACCATTGATTTACCACGCTAATACATATATGATATATATTTTATATGTCTCTAATTTACCATTAATGTACAAATGATATACCACTAATATAAGTATGATATCTACTGATATAACTTCTCATATGATTATATGATTTACCACTAATATAATACTGATATATACTTAATACTAATATATCTCTGATATAACAATTATATCTACTAATATAACTATGATATATGTGTGTTGATATCATACTATATATCCAATATTTTTTCAGATGAAAACAATGGTGCATAATTTTTTATTTTTTAATTTTGAAATATAAATTTATTATATAAAATGTTTATGTGGACCATGCACGTTAAATTTTTGATATACTTTATAAATTTAAACAGTTGATATTCCACATATTTAGTATCTAATTAATATTAATATTGAATAAATAGTAGTGATATAGTAATCAACATTATTGATAACATTAGTATATTAATCAACAAATTAAAACGATAAACTATAATTTAAACAGCTGATATATCACTAAAAATTAAACATTTTGTATATATTTAGTATATCAGTTGAAAATATATTTAGTATATCATAAATTAGAAGTACATCAGATATATATATTATATGTATAATACGTATATTTGATGTATATCAGCGGTATATCTGATAATATATATCATGGTATATCTAATACTGTATATTAGGGGTACATCGAATGTATATCGGAAGTATATCAGAGTTATATCGGATGTACATTAGATATAGATTTGATTTGATGTATGATATACATTTGATGTATAGATATACATAAAAAAAATGTCATCAGATATAAATGGGATGTATATCAGATATATTAGATATCATAAAGATAAGATTGGAATAATAAAAATTTTGAAAATTAAAATTAAAATATTTTGTTATATTTTGAAAATTTGAGAAGTTGATGACATTTTTTGAAATATATAAAATATTTTTGCTACCTATAACTACCCGTAAAGAAAGGTAAATATAAGAGATAAAAAAATCAGATTATATTAAAAAATTTAACTATTCAATTAATTTTTATATTTTTAAATATTAAAATAAAAGCTATTACGCTAAACAAGAAATGGCGGTTCGGCTTCTCAAACTTGTCTTGTTGGCTTCCCCAAGCTCTGCCCGTGCCTCGATCATCCACAACTCCTCAGGCTCTCTCCTCCAATGGCCAATGACTCCAATCTCATTTATGATAATTCCATTAACGCATCTTTTCTTCCTTTAACCCTTCGTCTTCTTCTCTCATTTTTCATATATCTTCCATGTGTTTTCTCCTTCATGCTCACAACTCACAAGTCAGTATAAAATGTTAAGAGGGTTCCTTCTTTGACAGGCAAGCTGATGAAGAACGACGATACTTAGGAGCGGATCGTCGTCAATCCTACCTCCTGGATTCTGGGTATGTTTCGTAGACTGAAAAACTTTTAATTTTAAAGGGAAGCTATTCTTCTTTGAGCTTATTTCTGTTTGGTTCTCAAATAATGTTGGAATCGATGCTACAGCTTGTTGCCTATTTTTGGAATTTTAAATCTTTGAAGTCGAGTTACAATTTGGCTGTTTGGGTTTTTGGCTTCCAGTTTTAGTCTGCTTCAGAATTTGGAGTTCATGACCATCTTTTTGTTTTTATGCATTTAGCTTCCTTCAGTGATTCCCACTGGGAGTTCTTGACCATCTGAAATTTTGGTCCACCAACTGTTTGATGATTTGTGCCCTGTGGAGTGTGCCTTATTTGGTTAACCTTTGACCCGTAGCAGAGCCGACTGATTTCTTCTCATCTATTTCCTTCTCTTCTGATTTAGCTTCACAATGGAGTTAGACTCTACCGTCTACCTTCAAGATGTAGTTAAGGCATTTCTAAGCTTGATTTAAGTTATTGATTTTTTTTTAATTCTATATTGGCCAATGGCCAATGCAATTGTCAAACCTGCACCAGTCTCGAAATTATTTTGGTGCTTTTATGGACAGGACTTATTTTCTTCTTAATCTATGCAAGGAACGATGGAGACATATCCTGTCTTCGTTATCATAAATGTGAAGTATTCTTCTTTGTTAGTTCAGGTTTCGTGCAGGTCAAGTCAGAAGAAAAGAGCTAACCACAAGGTCTTATTTTGGATAATACGGCTAGGGGAAAATAAAACAAATTAAAGGATGTTCGAGGGAGTTAATTGAAGTCCGGTTTATTTTTTTGGATCTAATGCCCTCAACGGATTCATACGATAGGAATGCTTTTGGGATATAATTAGGAAAATTATTAGAGATATTTTGTGTGATCTTTATTGACTTTGGTTGAGAGGGTACCTTATCTTCTCTTCCTTTGCCCTTCGTACATTTTGTTCCTTTTATGGAAGTCTTGAATCTAATGGAAAGCCTCTTCCTTTTACTGTATCCCTGTGATGTCTTGATAGTTCGATTCAAATCATTTATATGGTATTAGTTTCGTCCCTGAATCTATTCGATTATTTGTAGTGTTTCTTGTATGTTCCACTAAGTATTGTGGTATATTTAATACAACTCACGATGTCACATTTTTTTTAACAGGAAGCTCATGAACTTCACCATTCAACTTATGAGAACAAAAGGCTCAGAGGATTATAAGACTTAGAAACTATAAGTTTTACCTTAAGTTTTCAATTTTCTATTATAACATCTTAAACTCCTTCATTGGCTCCATGGCTCGTCATGAAGCAGGAATGTCAAGGCTTACTGAACGCTGGCCCATATCAAGAAATAATGTTGGTCTGTTTGGGCAAAGACCATCATCAATACGGGGTGTGAAAGTTTATAAATCTCAAAATGGTAGAACTTCTAATCAAATTTTATTCACATGCCTCAGTAAAATGAATGCAGATGTTGATGGTGATTTGCAGCTATGTGGATACTATGTGTCGTGCATATTGGCTATCTTCCCTAATTTGGGTAAAGAATTTAGTTCTTCACTAAAAGATTTAGGTGGGGAGATTTCCATAGTGACTGACAATCTGTTTGAAGTAATGGCTTTTGTATTAACTGACCCCCGCCCCTCACCTGCATTTTTGGTCGCTGTATGCCAATTACTTTTGTTTCCGTTTAAGACAATATCATGTGAAAGTTATGCCAACGACATGAACTCTGCAATCACAGCTCTAAAGCCTCTTGCTGGATATGCGACCACACTAACAGACCTAGTAGCAGCCGAATATGAAGTGGCTAACAAAATAAGAATTATGCTTGGATCAAAAGTATATTTGAGAAGTTCATTGCTTGATTCCATCCTTTATGCAGCGCAGTGTGATTCACCACTAGGGTATTGTTGCAATTATGTGGCAGGGATGCTTTCATGGACTGACATGTCGGAGTTTGTATTAATCAATGATGTTCTTCTTGTTACGAAATCCCCTGTTCTAGGAGATGACAGAGTAGCGTCAGAAGTGCAGAGACTCCACGAAACCTTCAAAGAAATAACACAAAACCGTACTCCTCAGTATTTTGCGATCACCACCTTTGGATTCAAGGCAAGACTGTTAGACAGGTCAAAATTCCCACACTTGATAGAAGTTGCCCGGTACATAAGTGCCAAGCAATCTTCCACCTTTAGCCAAAGCAACTTTGTATTTCCCCTCCCTGTGAAGGGCCAAACTTTCTTGGAACTGGTTGCTAAACATGAGGCATTTATCAAGGAAAATCGGGCCAGATCAAGTTGAAGTGCTGTAGTGTTCTCTCCTACTATGATGGCCACTTAAGACAAGGATGAAGAACAGAATTCTAAGGGGCTGGTTGATTCAATGCAGTCATGAAGAAAAAGGTATTTTTGTTTGTGTAGAAACACATTTCTATTTCAGGGTAAACTTTTTTTTTTTTTTTTTGCCTGCGTTGTTTCTCTGTTATTCCTCTTGTATTGTTGCATGTCTAAGTTTTTACTAGGAACTGTAGACTTTGATTATGCGGTCTCTACGAAATGCAATGACAGTTTTTTTTGTTCTAGTTCTCTTTTTGGGTTATGAGAAATGTGGCATTGAACTAGAGAAAAAAAGTGAAAAAAGGCTCAATTATTTGTTATCTTGCACTGCAAATATTTGGGATTTGCTTATTTGTGAATTTAAGATACTAGTGGCACGTGCATTGCAAGTAAATATATTTTAAATTTAAACTATTTGGGAAATATGTTATAAAGTATTATTAAATTATAGTATGTTATTTTGTTTTGTTGGTTGATTGTTTTTATTATTTAATTAAATTAAAAAAATTTGAAAAAATAAATTTGTTTAACCAAGGTGAGCTTGATTTTTAAAAATAAAAAATGAATTTTTATAATAAAAGCATGAATTTTAGTTAGGATTTAAAATATTTTTGGAGTATAAGGTTGAAAAAATGTTAATAAATAAAATGTGAAACATAAAACTAAAATGGTAAAATACACTTTTAGTTATAGTTTGAGGATATGTTTTCATTTGGTTCTTGAGTTTCAAAAAGTGACACCATGATCCTCTTAGATAGTAGTTCTATAAGGTCGTGGCGGAGTAACACTCTCGTTGGTAACACAAATAAAACATGACATGACATTGGTAAGGTGGTAAGTTTTATATAATACTTTTAATTTATGTGATATTTTTTTTTCTCTTCTCTCCCCTTCTACTCTTTCTTCCCAATATTCCTCCTATTTTGTCCAATAGATTTTGAAATATTTAAAAAATTTACTTTTTACTTTATATTTATATCATTATTTGTGATATAATTGTGAGATAGGCAAAATAAATATTTTGACATGTATTTTATTTTGATATTATTTTTTTCCAAATGGTAGTTTTTAAAAATTTTAAATGTTGGGAATACGTTGTTTATTTGATTTTCTTAATAAGATATTTAAGAAACACTCCGTCAAGAGAAACCAATAATTCAAATTGAACAAATCATGTTGGTTAGTCAAACTGAAGCAAATCTATTAAAGATGTTTTAATATGCATTTCAACATTTTCACCAAATCAATATAATTATTTATGCCAATTTATAAATTTCATCTTTGAACTTTCAAACTTATAGATAATAAGTTCATAAATTTGAAAAAGTACTTCTTGAAGTTGATATTTAAATATTATTTATTATTAAAAAAAGATATTTATGGTATACATATAAATAGTATTCTCATTATTATTGTTAAACAAAAAATTGAAAATAAAATCTTTTTATATTACATGTTCTCTTTCTCTAAGTTTTAGTATTAATTTTATGGAAAAGAACACTAACGTACCATATTATTCCTTCCATTCTTCGATTTTTTTTTTACAACTTTGATGAGATTCAATAACAAAAGATTTTTCATATTTAAGCCTAAATTAATTAATAAAAATCTAAATAACTTAAATTTAAGTTCTAACAAATTAGAGCATCACAATAACAAAAATTACAGATTTGATATAAACACTACAGGGTAAAGTAACATTTTTCTTTTGTTTTGTTATTATTATTATTGTGTTTAGTTCAACTAGACGGGGGTGGAAATTCAAACTTTTCAACATTTGTTTGAAAAGATATGACTTAACCAATTGATTTATGTAAAATAACAATAGAACACCTTCGCATGTTATAGTTGACATTGCAACATAAAAATTGATGAGAAAAGGGTTTTATTTCATAACTGTAATTTAATATAAAATATTTGGTCAAAAGGGTCATAGTAGTAGTTCAATTCATAGTCCAACGACAATGAATANAAGAAGTAAAAAAAGTTGTAGAATGCGGCTAGAGGTGTAATCACACTTGAAATTGAAGTCAAAGTGGCGTTAACATAATGATTAACAATGTTAAATATCCGTTACCAAATTACTAATACCATATTAGTTTATCATCATAAAGTTAATTAAAGAAAAAAGATGAACGAGATGCTGGCACTCTCTTACCGAGTCACCGACACGTCATGGTGCTCTCCTTCCATATGTGCCGTTCATAATCCCCATTTCATCCGTCTCCTTCTCTTTGAAACAAAATAAATTTGGACAAAAACTAAATAACTAAAAGATCTGTACAAGATTAATTGTAACTGTTTCCTAATAATTAGCTAGCAATGTTGAAATCGCACAAAGGTAATTAATTTGTTTTGGTTATGCAAATAAATTTAATTTCCTTCTATTGAATGTAATTGAATATTTAGAATTAAAAATATTTATGAAAATTGAATGAAATCTTTGTAATTTGTAATATTTATTAAAGTAAATAGTATATTTGTGATTCATTAAAAAATGAGAGGGGTAATATAGTCTAAAAAAAGCTTGCTTTTTTTAATTTAGTATAGATATAGATTGGGTGACATTGGGTGAACAACACTGATTTTTCACATCTTCATACCTATTATGTCATCCTCTGGAACAGGCAGGTATTGAAGTCCTCAAACTGTTAAGTTATTTCCAAGTGGTCTTTTTGATAAGTTAAGTTCCTTGTGTTCTTAACAAAAAAAAAACATGTATTTAGTACAAATTCAGATTTTCTTTTTCTTTTTATATACCAACTTTCATATTTTCTTAGAAGTTCTGATTCCATAGTATTTTGTTAATAGTTCTAAAGCTACTACAATACACTGAAAAAATATCTGTATATCCCAAGTCCATGTCGAGGAAGAATTATCAATTCTAATGTTATTTGACCTGATAATGCACTTGTGAAGAACATTTTACATAGGATAGAAAAGAAACGTACTGCTAATGAAATCTGTGCCATATGGAGCCCAAGTGCCTAAAATATGCATGCCTCCAAGTTTTACTGAACAACAATGGACCCCAAATCCCCCAAAATCCGACCAGAAAACCAATTGCCAAGCTCAGATAAAGCCACTCATCAATATAGTTTCCACCACCATCATCATCTTCCATTGCTTCTCCGTTTTCTGTTTCTGATGCTGCCCTTTCCATCTTGCATCTCTTCATCAATGGAGGTCCACATAGCTCATTGCCAATGAAGCTAGACGGACCTAAGCCCTGAAGTTGTGTACTGGTTGGAATTGGACCCGACAATTTATTGTAAGACAAGTTCAAGTAATTCAAGAATGTTAACGTCGACATGCCTGGTGGTATTTGTCCCGAGAGTTGGTTTCTAGAAAGATCAAGAGACTCCATATTTGTCATGCTTCCAATATGTTGTGGAATACTTTCTGTTAGATGATTTTCCGATAGGTTCAAGGAATTCAATCCAAAAAGATTGGTGATTTCTTGAGGTATTTATCATGATAAGTTGTTGTCAGAAAGGTCCATGCTAGTCATAAGGGTAAGGATATTATTGTACTGGAACTCTCTTCCTTTTGTCATTACATATGCATTCTCCAAAATCCCCCCAAAGAAAAATGAGTAAAATATTCGTCGGTGGGAACTCCTTTGGTAGCCATTGCTATAAAATTGCCCAAACACTGTGGTATGGGTCCTGCTAAGTTGTTATCACCAATGTCCATGATTTGAAGAGATGAGAGCTAGTTCACTTGGGATTAAACCACTTAGCTGGTTCGATCGAAGTCCAAGAACCATGAGGTTTGAGAGATTCGTCCCAATCCATGCTGGTATGTCTCCCTTGAATGCATTTAGACTAAGATCCAAAGTCCTTTAACTTGAAACAATTTTGAAGAGATTGAGGGATTTCTCCCAAAAAGTTGTTTCGTAGGTGCAAAGATTGTAGCTTCCTTAGAGATCCCATTGAGCTGGATAACTTGCCAGGAGAAGAATTTCCAAATTGTGCATTTGACTCCCCGAATAACATAGGAAATGAGAGATGTTTCCAGAAAAGAAATTATTTAAAGCTCTACCACATTGGAGGATATATGGGGTAAGTGACCATGAATCTATTGAAACCAAGATAAATTGCTGCAAATCTAACATTAACATTGAGAGGAAAATAAGGTATTATACCAGTTAGTTGGTTGTGAGAGAGATTCAAGTATAGATATGTAGGGGACAAACTCCAAAACCAATATGGAACAGTATCTGAAATTCCAACGTTAGACAGATCAATGTCACTGAGCTTCTCTTGTGATTTGAGCCATTTGGGAAATTGAGAACCTAAGTTGCAAGATCTCAATTTAATTAGACTGAGATTAAAAGGAGGAATCCACCCAGTATTGAAACTCAATAACAAATTATTTTCAGACATGTCTAATCTTCTCAGATTCATGAGATTAGCAAGGTGAATTTCCGAGACAATGCCTTCCAAGCGATTACAAGAGACAATTAGCATTTGTAAATTTGATAGGTCCTATGCTTTTTGGAAGAATTCCATTTAACTCATTTCTAGCCAGAAACAAGTATTCCAATGAAGATAAATTTCCTATCAACTCAGGGATAGGGCCAGAAATGAAATTATCTGCAAGGTTAAGGAGTTGCAAATTTCTAAGCTGTCCAATATGATTTGTAAAATATGATTTGTAAAATGACCAAAAATATTATTTGCCCCCAAATCCAAAGAAATCAAACTACCCACAAGGCAACCAGAAAAGCTTTCAAGGAATTCTGGTAGGCTTTGAGCAAGTTTATTTTCCAATAGAGAAATTCGAGTCAACTTGCAAAGAGTTCCTATTCATCTTGGAATATTTCCTTCAAATGCATTTTCTGAAAGGTCGATAGAAACTAAATTCGTAAGGTTGGAAGTGTCATTTGAGATCTCTCCTCGTAAGCTATTAGGCATGGTGGAGTTGAAACTAATGTCTGAAAGATCAAGATATGTAACAGCTGATGAGTTTTGAAAACCACATGGAATTGGACCTTGAAAGTCATTACCATGCAAGTCTAAGGAAGAGATGCTTGTAAGACTAAACAACCATTTTGGCAGTGAAGAATTCAAATAATTATATGCTACATTAAGGTTTTCGAGGGATGTCAAGTTCGAAAAACCTTCGGGAAGCGGTCCTTGGAAATAACCACCTCTAAGATCAAGTGAAACAAGGCTACCAAGGTTTGATATCCAGTTGGGTATGAATCCATTGAAATAGTTAGATGAGATGTCAAGAACAGAGAGAGAACTGAAGTTAACATGGCTTAAAGGAGTAATATGATTCAGTTTACACCTAGACAAGCGTAGTTCCACTAGAGAAGGAAGCTTATTGATCTCCAGCAACCAATTAGACACCTTGCTGAGGTCTGCATAACTCAAATCCAGGCTCGACAACGAACGGAGACGTTGAAGCCATCGAAGACTTTCGCTATACAAATTCTGTCCAAAAGATGAAGGATCGCTTCACAAACTAAGTCGTTGCAAGTTAGATAGATTTCCAAGTTGACGAGGAATTAATCCATGAAATCCTGCACATGTGAGATTAAGATTATACAAACTCACCATTGATCCAAGAAACTTTGGAAGTTCGATCCCGCCAAAATCGTTGTAACTGAGATCGAGGTTCCTTATACTTCAAACTTAGGATGGAGTCACTTATCTTTCCCCTTAACTTGAAGTTTCCAGCATCATCTTGAGGATTTGCGAGTTTGAGCTCTTTGACATGACCCGTTAAGTTGTCACAAGTGACGCCTTCCCATTCACAACAATCTACTTCAAGAACCCAAGACGAGAGACGGTTAGAAGGATCTTCGAGGCCTTCTTTGAATCTCAAAAGAGTATCTCTCTCGCTTTCATTGCAAAGGATATCATTATCTCTATTGCCAAAGCTACAAATAGTCTTTGTGACAAAGAAGAGTAACAGAAGCATAAGAAGTTTAACCATTAATAGCGTGTCTTAGTTGCAGAAAATTGGGAGAGAAGATTATGAAATCTTAAATATTTTATATATACTCTTAGACAGTATGTGTGTTTGAAATGATTATTTCTATTAGGACTAATCTAATCAAAGTTGTTAATTTATTGGCCAAAGTTATAAATTTAATATTAATGTTGTGTTATATGCTCATACCTTATGTATGTCTTATTGTGATCTTCAGAATAACTTACACCAGAAAAATTATACAATCTTCAAGAGAAGAAAATTATCTAAAGAAAGATTGAAGGGTTTGTTTGTTTTTATATAAATAAAATATTAGCAAAGCAAAGAAACCTTCCAAGTTCTAACTAAAAAATTTGCCCATTTCAAAGGGGAAAAAAGACAAACAAATTTGCCGGACTTGACGAAGTACCTGAAAGTTAGAAATACGTTTATATATATATAATTTAAAAGGGAAGTTTGACCACTGATCGATCATTATATACTTCTTATAATTATTTAGTTTTCTTATATTAATAAAATATAACAATCTGAGTTCTTCTTGTTAAAAGTCTTGTTATAAATATTTATATATAAAAAAAGGGTCTTTTATCATTATAGATGGATGATTGAACCACCTTTGATTTTGGATCGTAAATGGTCATTCATTTGACTATGTTACGTGCGTCATCTATTTATTGTCAATTTTTTTTAGAACATTTTAAACCAAATTGGTAAATTTTTGTAAGTATAAAATTAAGATCATTATAAATGAAAGTACGAGGACCAACGCCAGATTTTTTTCAAAAACAATTTATTTTATTTTATTTTTTGTTTTTGATTTTTTTTGTTTATATCCGTGAGCGTTCAGACAAGCTTACATGTGCCCGACTAATCTCATAGAATATGGAAGTACATTGAAATTAATTGTTAAGGTATGTGGCCATCATGAGGTTTTTGAACTCATTCCTTCTCAATTTATCTTACCTTTGAATTGTTCTATTTTATTTATGTATATTATTTTTTTAAAATATTCTTTTAGACATAAAATATGGTAGAAAATAAACAATCATGCTTAAAGAAGAGTCGAATGTTGTGGATGGTTTGTGTGCCAACTCTTCTTGTGTCTGTATACACAAGAACCAGTCTTCCATTTTATTTTCTTACCTATTTTTAGTAACTAATCATATTACAGAGAAAACAGATACTAACAATTAAACTTGTGCCATAAGGAGTTCAAGCGTCTAAAATATGTATGTCTCCAAGACTTGCTGATGAACAATGGACCCCAAATCCCCCAAAATCCAACCACAAATCCAATTGCCAGGCTTAAATAAAACCACTCATCAATATATTTTTCATCATCTTCTTTTGCTTCTCCATTTTTTGTTTCTGGTGTTGTCCTTTTTTCCCTTTTGCAACTGTTGGTCAGTGGAGGTCCACATAGCTCGTTGCCAATGAAGCTGGATGGATCTAAGCCTTGGAGTTGTGTACTGGTTGGAATTGGACCCGACAAGTTGTTGTGCGACAAGTTCAAGTGATTCAAGAATGTTAACTTCGACATACTTGTTGGTATTTGCCCCGAGAGTTGGTTTCTTGAGAAATCGAGAGACTCCATGTTTGTCATGCTTCCAATTTGTTGTGGAATACTTCCTCTTAGATTGTTTCTAGAGAGGTTTAACGATCTCAACCCCAAGAGACTAGTAATTTCGTGAGGGATTTCTCCCGATAATTTGTTGCTTGAAAGGTCCATGCTAGTCATGAGGGTCAGGATGTTGTTGTACTGGAACTCTTCTCCTTTAGTTATCACAAATGCATTCTCCAAAAATTCGCCATAGTAAAAGGAATAAAATATTTGTCCAAATGAACTCCTTTTGGTAGCCATGGCGGTAAAATTTCCAAAACAATGTGGTATAGACCCAGTTAAAGTGTTGTTGCCAATGTCCATGATTTGCAGAGATGAGAGGTTACAAAGTTCATCTGGGATTAAACCACTCAACTTGTTCGATCGAAGTCCAAGAACCTTGAGATTCGAGAGATTTGTCCCAATCCATGTTGGAATGTTTCCTTGGAATGCATTTAAACCAAGATCCAAAGTCCATAAACTCAAGCAATTTTTAAGAGCCGAAGGGATTTCTCCAGAAAGGCTGTTGTTGCGTAGGTGCAAAGATTGCAGGTCGTTTAGAGACCCCATGGAGCTTGGTAGCTTTCCAAATAAATTATTGTTGTCCAACTTCACAACTTTTAACGACATCCACTTTGTCCAACAGTCTGGAATATTTCCTGATAAAAGATTGTCTCCAAGATAAAGAATCTTCAATTGATTTTCTTGACTTCTTGAATGACACAAGAAGTGAGACATGTTTCCAAAGAAGGAATTATTTGAAAGATCAAGCTCTATAACATTAGATGATACACGAGGCAAGTCACCATCAAATTTATTGGAACTGAGGTAGACCATACTAGACGGAGAATTAAGAAGTATATGAGGAATTTTACCAAACAGTTGATTGTGGGAGAGGTTTAAGTATGAGCATGAAGTAGAGAAACTCCAAAACCAATATGGAACCGTGTCTGAAATTCTAGCATGTGATAGATCAAGCTCATAAAGATTCTTCTGTGATTTGAGCCATTTGGGAAATTGAGGACCCAAGTTGCAAGATCTCAAATATATTCTACCAAGATTAAATGGAGGAATCCATCCAATTGAGAAACTCAATGTCAAATTATTTCCAGACATATACAACTTCGTCAAATTCACAAGATTGATAAAGTAAATTTCTGATACAATACCTTCCAAGCGATTGTAAGCAATGCTTAGTTCTTTTAAACTCGACAGAGATCCCATGCTTTTTGGAAGAATTTCGTTCAATTCATTTCTAGAAAGATCCAAAATTTCCAATGAAGATAAATTTCCTATCGACTCGGGAATGGGACCAGAAATGAAATTACCCCGAAGGTCAAGATATCTCAAACTCTTTCCAAGGCAACCGGCAGAAAAGATGTCAACGACTTGTGACAATTTTTGGCGAAATGAATTTCCTGACAGAGAAATACTCCTTAACTTGGAAAGAGTTCCTATTGAGCTTGGTATGCTCCCATTGAGTATATTCGATGAAAGGTCAAGAGAAACCAAATTAGTAAGGTTGACAATATCCTCTGAGATCTCTCCTTGCAAGAAAAGAGTGCGAAGGATTAGGTATTGAAGATTATGGAGAGAATACAGACAACTAGGTATGGTGGAAATGTAATTGATATTAGTATCTGAAAGATCAAGATATGTAAGGGCCGACAAATTTTGATTAGCACATGGAATCGGACCTTCAAACTCATTAAGCCCCATCGTCATAGAAGTGATGCTTTTGAGACTAAACAACCATTCTGGTAGCGAAGAATTCAAGAAATTATGTTCTAAGTTAAGGTTTTGGAGGGATGTCAAGTTCGAAAAACCTCTGGGAAGTGGACCTTCGAAATCACTTCGACTTAAATCAAGTGAAACAAGGCTACCAAGATTTGATATCCATTTGGGTAAGAATGCATTGAAGTTGTTTGATGAAATGTCAAGAACAGAGAGGGAAGTGAAATTGACATGATTCAATGGAGTAATATGACTCAACTCACAATTAGACAAACGCAATTCCACTAGAGAAGGAAGCTTATTGATCTCCAACAACCAATCAGACGCTTTGCTAAGGTTTGCATAGCTCAAATCCAAACTCAACAATGAACCAAGACCTTGAAGCCAATGAAGATTTTCACTGTACAATTTAGGTCCAGAGAATGGAGACTTACCTCGCAAACCAAGTTGTTGCAAGTTGGATAAATTTCCAAGTTGATGAGGTATCAACCCTTGAAATCCCGATCCTGTGAGGTTGAGATAATTCAAACTTACGAGCGATCCCAAAAAACTTGGAATCTGAATCCCTCCAAAATCATTGTAACTCAAGTCGATACGGCTTACATGCCTCAAATTCACGATGGAGTCGCTTAAATTTCCCTTCAACGTGTAGTTTTCAGAAGTAATCCACTCCGCTTCAGCTGGCCGGTTGAACCATCGCAACGAATTCCAACCCATTCGCAGCAATCTGTTTGAGGAACCCAAGAAGAAAGACGATTTGAGGGATCTGTGAGCTCTTTCTTGAATCTCAGAAGCGCGTCCCGCTCGATTTCAATGCAGGGTGCATTTGACGATGAATTGATGAAGCTGTGCATGGTTTTGGTTGGCATGAAGAATAATGATAAGAAGATAAGAATTTGAAAAGCTCTGCTAAATTCAAGTACTCCATCCATTTTGATCGATATGAAGTTTAGTGCAACTTCAAAGGAGGTTGAAGATCTTATAAATAAGGAATATCAATTTGAAACCAAGACATACTCTAATTTTTACTGAAGGAAGAAGCTGTGTACTAATTCAAAACATCACTTTCAGTGAACGAGATGCATGGAAATTTCAATTTTTCAATTTTGATTTATAATTCTCCAACATCCTAAAACACATCCATAAGAATTTTGTTTATATATAAACAGTCTAGTCTGACCAGAAAATGTTCATATAGTCTTTTAGAAAATAGATGCTACGTTAACTAAATATTGATGATATTAGGATTATCCCTTGTTTAGGTTTCAGGTTCAATTTGATAATCTAACAGTCTAAGATTAAAATTAACTTACTAAGCCTAAGTACAAGATATTTAAAATGGAATCTTATATACTTTATGAATTATTTGTAAAATGCAGTCACATCTTCCCGAAAATTAAAAAATTCCTTTGAAATTTCAAAGATTGTGGAGTTTTGGTTTGCACTATCCAACAAAGACTTTTTGAATACTCTGTGAAAGACTTTGGATATCACCATCATAAACTTAAATTTTGGACTTGTCTGAATGACTTTGGTCTTTAAATTCTTAAAATTTTATCTTTTTAACATTTATTTATTTTTTTTAATTTTCATCCAAAATATTTTAATTACTTCTCAAAATTTCTAGTTTTGTTTTTATTTAGTCATTGTCATTTGTTAATGTAACAACTACGAGACACGCTTATGGCTTATTTTATATGATTTGCTCAACATGCTAGATCTAAAGGATAATTTAACATAGTAAAGAGAGACGAGCCATAGGTCAAAACAAACATTTTTCTAATAATATGATCGGTTGAAAATGTCATATCATGTCAATTTAACTAACTTTTATCTAACAAGCATGTTAAATTAGTATTCTATTCACGGTGTTAACAACAAGATCTATATATAAAAACATAATTCAAAGTTGGAAAATGTAATGAAAACTTTTAAGTCTAATAACTAAATACACTACAAGAAAAATGACTTTCAGCGACGAAAATATTTCTTCACTGGAGCTAAAATATCAACAACGAAAAATAACTTGACGCTACAAACGTCCTTAGAATCGGGTTGTAAATCGACTCTAGCATCAAAAATACGTGTGTCGCATCTCTTCGCTGGCAGCTAAATACTAAATATATAGTATAACTATATTTTTTAAAATCTAGATAAATATATATGGTATAACTATATTTTTAAAGACGATTGGATTTTATAAATTACTTGTTCCTATCTTTTTCCAGATAAAAATTGATAAAAAGAAAGATAAAAAGTGATTAGAAATTTCAATGGTTCGTTTTAAATTTGTAATTATTGGTCGAAATGTTAGAAGTATCAGTCACAATGGAGTGATGAGTCTCGCAAAGACTTTTTGAGTACTCTTGCCAAAAACTTTGATTATCAATATCCGAACACCTTTCGAGAGATGAGGACTTAGTCTTGAAGAGGCCCTTTCAAAAGGTTAATGGTACGTTTTAGTTGGGAATCTGAAAATATCAAAAAAAAAAAAAAAGAAAAAAAAGAGAGTTGTATTCGTATTAATAAGAAATTACAATAGTTACTAATGTTGGAAACATGTTTCCAAAAATCCGGCGGTACGTCGATATTTTCATCGATATGTCCATGTTTTCAAGGATTCGACATCGACATGAGGGGTAAGTCGACATTTCCATTATAGTATAAAAAATCGACAAAATATGAAAAATATCAACAAAATGTCACTAATATATACCAATATTAAATATTAAATATTTCTTAACTTATTTAGAAATATGAAAATGTTTATTTGCTAATTTAAATATTTTTTACAATTTTTTAATTTCTATAATTTTACAAAAATATCTATCGACATCGACATTTTATTGATATTTCCATGAAATTAAGACATCGACATAGACATTTAAAAATTTGGTTGGAAACAAGAAATTGAGGGCACGTGTGATATTTATCGTTTCTGTTTTTTATTTCATCTTTCTTTAAAAAAATAAGAATTGAACAATATTTGATAACGGTTTATTATTTTTTTTTCTTATTAAAAAACCGAAATAGATCAAAAGAGATTTGATAACTTTTATTATTATTTTTTTCGTTCTTTAAATTTTTAAATTAAAAAGAAAAGAAAAGTAAAATTTTCCTATCTTTCTCCAATGAAAGAAAAAGAAAAAAAAATGATTAGAAATGACAACGGTTTGCTTTAATTATTGGTCGAAATCTTAGAGCTGGCTCCCGCTACCCGGCAAAGACTTTGACTATCAACATCCCAACACCTTGCAATATTTTCCCCACCATCCAATTTTTTAGGAAGGCAAATTGAATTTCAATTTAAAATAATTATTCAAGTGTTATATTAATATATTGGTAAACTATTACTAATTACAAACTAAATATTTGGTTCAATCTAAAATAATATTAACTAATTTATTAATATATATATTATTGGATTATTATTTATAATATACTATATTTTATATTTTATAATTTTGATAGAAATAAATATGTTTATAACATGAAATAATATTAATTTATTAGAGTTTTTATTTTTTATTTTTAATGTAATTTAAAATTTTAAAATTTAAAATTCAAAATTTGAATACACTACGAATATAAAAAATGTTGCTTTCACACTCTTCATATATTTGGATCATAGAATTTGATTTGGTGAATCAAAAAAGAAAGAAAAAAACACCATTCAAATTGCACATCAATTATTACTTTTGCCCATTTTTTCGCTTATTTAAATTACTCTTCAGGCAACCATTTTCACTGCATATTAAATACAATTGATGAATCAGACTAACAAGATTTTAAAAGAAATAAAAATGTATTGAACCCCTTAATTATGTTGGAAAAAATGAGCTAATTTCTCGGTCTTACTTTAATTATTTGTTTAATTTTGTTTTAGAGTTGAGGACGAATGGAATTCTGCGGTCCACGTCAATAACAAATTTCAACATAATCCATTTTAGAATTATTTTAAGTAAAGATATTAGTTTTTCTTTCTTTTAGAATTCAAATGAATCCTAAAAGAGAGGAAGAAAAACTTGCGAAATGAAAAAATAAAAAAATAAAAACAAATCCCTTCAAGGAATTTAGGGTAAAAACTGTGTTAGATAGACTTAATATGAATTAGGAGATGGACCCTTGAATCCTTTTCTCCAATATTACAACTTATAATATTATATCAAAATGACATATAAAAAATCCATAGGCAGTTCTAATTTGATAAACAAGGAACGGTTGGAACTGCATAAGTAGATCTTCCATCAACATTTTGACAAAAAGCTTTGGCTTCCATTTTTGGATCTATTGGTTTTATGCTCACATTTTCCAAAATAATATTGCTGCAGCGATTTCGAGAGCAGTTCAAAATAATTGCATTCTCATTTGCTGACGTTCCATTAACTTCACGATAAGTCACGTTGCTCACTTTTATGTCGAATAACTGAAAAAATATTGAAAAGAAATTTATAGATTATATAAAAGCAGTGATAACAGTAGATAAATTAATGAGAACTACACCAAATATTTTACCTTGTTTTTTTGTGCCTTTGCAAGACCGGTATAATATTGATCAATAATGATCGGGTTTTTCGCACCCATTAGTGTTATTTGTTCGAATGTGATGTTCCTTGCATATCCATATCCACCCTATAAACTCAAAACGTTATTAAAAACAAAAAGTTATGTGCTAGAAATTTATTTACAAACATTATTTTATAATAATAAATTGAGCTAGAAACAATTATCACCTGCCAAGTCTTGATTCTCATTCCATTTTGAGTGCCCTTTAAGAGGCAATTTTTTACATGAATGTTTTCAACTACGTTGTATTCTCTATTTCCTCCCAAGCTCCCAATACTGTTTTCAAATAAATACAAAAATAAAAAATATATATAAGGAATGAGAGATAAAAATGGTCAAATGTAATTTTTTTTGGTAATAGTAATTATTTACTGTTACTAGAAAACATCATTTTTACCTTATGCCATGGCCTGGGCCACAGGTTACACCTACAATATCGATATTGGAAGATCCATTGTTAAGGGCAATACAATCGTCACCTACATATAGAAATTAGTATGAAATTAATAAAATTGGTTATTTTAACCTTGAATGTATGTAATAAACAAAAGAATAAAAAATGATCATGAAAAATGCTAATTAATTAATTAATTACCTGTTCCCATGAAAGAATTTTGAATAAGAACATTGTTTGATCTAGAAACATCAATTCCATCTGTGTTAGGGCTATCTTCAGGAGCAATAATGTGAAGGTCTGAGATAATGACATCATTACAAGCATTTATGGAGATATGATTTTTGGCACTATTAATATGCTTCATTTCCCTTAGTTGGAGACCATTGCAATTGTGCAAAAATAGTGCCTGCAAAACCATACATTATAAATTCAACCATTAAAATCAAATTCTAGTTAGGATAAAATCTATCAAGTGTTATTTGGTACCTTTTTTCATATATTTTTATTTTACTCCTAAATTCCCTCTGAGTAGACCACAATTTTATATATAATATGTAGTAAAAATTTATTTGATTAGACGTACATGGGTTATCTGGTACTTTTTTACCTTAGCTTTTCATTTCACTCATAAAAACTCTTTAAGCACACTACACTTTTATATATAATATGTATAGTAAGATAAGACGATGGAAAGATGATCGAATAAAACTTACGGTTGGTCGTTGACAGTGTTCCCAATCTTCCCACCAAGAGGAGCCTTGACCATCAAATTGTCCTGTTCCATTGACAATGAGACCATCTATGTCTGAAAATTGAATCCATCTCTCTCTATCGTACTTTGGCCATGAACCTTTTTTTGGAGCCACTAGAGTCCCTTTAAGCTACAAAATCACAAAACCATAACAATATTTTCTAAGCTTGATATGTCCAGACATATAATAAAAAAAATGATGAGCAAGAAATTTACATGGAAAGTAACTTGTTTGGACTTGCAAGGACCCTGAAATTTGAGAGGCTTCAACATATAAATTTTTCCATGTGGTGCATGTAATGTTGGAATTCCTTCTGTTGCTCCACAGACATCATTCCAAGCTCTCAAAAAAGCCTTATAAAAAAATAAAAAAGAAAGAAAAACAATTATATAAAGAAGAAGATAAAGAAAGAATTAAAAGTAGTCCAAAATGTAGATTAAATTATTTTACTTGTGAATCATCAGCTTGCCCATTTCCAATGGCTCCATAATCAAGAACATTGAAGCTGGGTGAAGCTGACACAATCCACGAGCTCAAAATATTAATGGAGAAGATGAAAAGTAAGACAAAATGGAGCTTCATTTTCTAAGATAAAATGGCGGATTTTGATAAACAAAAAGAAGAAGATCGTGCTAAATTTTGGAAGGATAATGAAGGATGAAAATAAATGGCATGCTTATATAGAGGATGAAGGGGTGAAATGGGAATTGTAAAATTGTTTTTCTTTTTTAATATTTTGTAAGTATTGAAGATTAGAAAGGAAAATATTAATCAGATATATAATTATAAGGCTTGAAAGAAGCAATGTGTCCATATTGGTATGCATAAAAAATGGAGGATTTTTCTCAAATCTATTATTAATTAATGGGTCAAGCATATTATTTTAATCATTATTATCAGTTTTTTTTTGTTTTTATGGGAGATTTTGTTTCGGAGAAATTAATGGTTTTTGTGCATAAATATGGTAAGTGATGTCAAACCGTGAGTCAATCTGCCACAAATTTATGGAAATTCAAGCTTGATTTTGTTGGATGTGTTTCAATAGTTTTTTGGGTAACTTAATATTGATGAATTAGATTGTGTAATAAAATTATTATAATGTTGTTGAGTGGATATGTTTTTTTCTTCCTCAAGAACTAGAGTTATCTGAAATGAATAATTGAGAATATGGAGATGGAAAAAAAAAAAAAGAAGACAAAAGACAAAACAGAAACGAAAAATGTTAGTTCGTCTGTATCTCTCATTCAATTATGTTAGTTAATAATTAACATTATTTTAATTAACTTATTTTTTTTTTTATCAAAGAAATGTCTTATGGCTCATCTAAGCAAGAATTAACATTTTCTTTGTATTACGTAATAATTTATATTTTAAGAAATTTGTGTTCGTTGCTCAATACTAGAGGCTTAAACTAACAAAAATAATGTATTAATTAATTTAGTTATCTGTTTGTCTTCAAATAAGTCAAATTTTGTCCGATATCTATCTTCGAAGATGATAAGTTAAAATTTTTACCCCATCTATTTTACTATAAAATAATAATAAGAAAAATAAGTCAAATTTTTTAATGGAAAGAAAAATCACACGTGAATCTCTTGATTTTGTTACAAAAAGTTAGATATTAAATATCCATATTATGAGAATTACTTATTTACCCTTTTTTTTATGAGTATTATTCATCATGCATCCATTTTATTTGGATATTAAATAATACAATTGATGAATAGAATCTCTTTATTTTATAGTAATGAATTTGATGGATAGAATCTGGTTATACATGGAAAAGAAATTTGAGGTTTTCTTTTAGAATATTACATTTGATAATCAGACTTCAGACATAGGAGAGAGATTGTGTCCAATTAGCTATAATTTATACCAATTTTCCATAAATGTCACTAATTTATAAAATTTACAGAAATGGATTGACAATAAAATCATGGGTTTGACTTTTTTTACATAATTCCTACTCTACCCCTAATTATAATATATGTTTTCCTTAAATGAATCTCCATGACAATAAATTTGACCTTTTAATTTTTATAAGATTAAATTATTAATAGATATATATTTTTTTAATTTCGAACCATATTTGAAAACATTTTATTTAGTTGTAAAAAAAAGCATGTTATTTATGGTAATTTAAATATAATTTTGAAATTAAAATTTCAATCCTGTTTCAAATTATATTGGTGTATGATATTAAATAAAAAAAATACAATYAGTTTTTATTTCATATGAACTTTTCTTTATTTTTCAAAGATTATTTCTTCGATTTTTTTTTTCACTTTTGTATTTTCTGTAATAATAATTGTGTTTTCTAATCATTAATCATTTTTTTCGCATTTCAGCCACTTTTTGATTTGGAAGTTTGTATTTTGTCTTTTTAATGTTTTTTCCATTTTAGAGACAAATATCTTTTTTTTTTTTTTTGAAAAGCAAAAACAGCAACAATTTTGAAACAAAGATCTATTTGAATGAATATAGACGAACTATTTTAATTTCTTAAATATTATAAATACTTCACTTCAAAAAAAAATTCTTATTTTATGAATTATTTTAAAAATCTACTCTAATCTTTCCTGAAAACCCCTTTGAAATGTAAAAGTTATGTTCGAATTTTTGGTAGAAAGATTTAGCTTGTCGTCCGGTGTATTTTCTAACACTTTTAATTTCTAAATTTTTTTTTCCAATTTTAAAAATAATGATCCAACAAATCTTTAAATCTCATCAATTAGTTGAGAGATTGTCTCAAGAATTAATGAGTCATAAAATAGAGTAAGAAAAACATACGAAATAAAAAATGGAAAAGAAATAGACTTTTAGAATGAGGCCAAAACTTTGTTAGATAGACCTACTATAAATTAGGAGATGGAACATTAAATCCTTTTCTCCAATATTACAACTCATAATATTATATAAAAAATTCAGTTCTGCTTTGATAAACAAGGCACACTTGGGATTGCTGAGGTAGATCTTCCATCAACATTTTGACAAAGARTTTTTGCTTCTTTTYCAGGATCTATGTTCTTTATGCTCACATTTTCCATAATAATATTACTGCAACGACTTCGAGAGCAGTTCAAAATAATTGCATTCTCATTTGCTGATGTTCCATGAACTTCACGATACGTCACATCGCTCACTTTTATGGGCAATAACTAAAAAATCAACAAAAAAAACAAATAAATTATTTATAAACACACGCATAATAGTAGATAAAGACCTATAAAATAATGGGACTAAAAAAAGTTTTACCCTGTTTTTTTGGGCTTTTGCAAGATCGCTGTAATACTGATCAATAATGATCGGGTTTTTCACATCTATTAGTGTTATTTGTTCGAATGTGATGCCCCTTGCATATCCGTACCCATTCTGTAAAAGAGATATATAATTATGTGCTAGAAAAACATATACTAAATAAATATTTATATATACTATTGTACATGAATAAATATTGAAAATAAATTATCACCTGCCAAGTCTTGATTCTCACTCCATTTTGAGTGCCCTTTAAGAGACAATTTTTTACGTGGATGTCTTCAACTACATTATATTGTCCATTTTCTCCTAAGCTCCCAATGCTGTTCACAAACAAAACAAAACAATCAATATTTATTTATTGGAATGGGAGATAAAAAAAATGGTTAATTTTTTGTTTTTGAAATTGATAGACTATGAGGAGATGATAATGGATAAAAGTTACAAGTAAAAATATTAGATGTTACATATATTTGTTCAATAAATAGTTACTAAAAGAACGTCTTTAATTTTTACCTTATTCCATGGCCGGGGCCACATGTTACGCCTACAATGTTGATATTGGTAGATCCGTTGTTAAGAGCAATACAATCGTCACCTACATTTAATTTAAAAAAGAATTGATGTAAACTCGATTGGTATAATATATAGTTTAGTATTTGAAAAATAATAAAAATAATTCAACAAAAGATAAAAATGTCCAATATTGAAAATTTCTAATTAATTAATTAATTACCAGTTCCCATAAAAGAATTTTGGATAAGAACATTATTTGATCCAGAAATGTCAATTCCATCTGTGTTAGGGCTATCTTCTGGAGCCATAATGTGAAGGTCCGAGATAATGGCATCATTACAAGCATTTATGGAGATATGGTTTCTGCCACTATTAATGTGCTTCATTTCTCTAAGTTGGAGGCCATTGCAATTGTGTAAAAATAATGCCTGCAAAACCATATATTATAATTAATATTCACATTAATAAATTCAACAATCAAAATCAAATTCTAACGAAACAAGAAAGTATATAAAAGATGATCGAATAAGACTTACAGTTGGKCGTGTGCAATGTTTATCRCAATCTTTCCACCAAGAAGAACCTTGGCCATCAAATTGTCCTGATCCATTGACCATGAGACCGTCTATATCTGAAAATTGGATCCATCTATCTCTATCGTCACTTGGCCATGAATCCTTTGTTGGAGCCACTACCGTTCCTCCAAGCTAAAAGAAACAAAAAAACAAAATCATGTGAAAACATGTTCTTACCTTATAATATATTGGATCATATAATAAAAAATAAAAAATATATATATATATGACAAAAAATGATTGAAAAATTTTAAAATGTAAGAAAAGGGCAAATTATAATTAAGAAATGGGGTAAGAATAATTACATGGAAAATGACTTGTTTGGACTTGCAAGGACCCTGAAATTTGAGAGGATTCAACATATAAATTTTTCCAACTGGTGCATGTAAGGCTGGAATTCCTTCCGTTGCTCCACATGCATCCTYCCAAGCTCTCAAAAATGCCTGATCAAAGATAGACAAAGAAAAAAAAACTTTTGTTAGGGGTGTAATTTAGTCGGTTCGGTTCAATTTTCAGACAAAACCGACTTGACCCGAAAGTGTTCGATTTTCATTTGAGTCAGTAGGTTGGAAGGGAGAAAAAGAGAATAGAATATAGCTCAAATTACTTACTTGTGAATCATCAGTTTGGCCATTTCCAATGGCTCCATAATCAAGAACATTGAAATTGGGCGAAGTTGATACAACCCATGAGCTTAAAAGATGAATGGAGAAAATGAAAACTAAGGCAAGATGGAGCTTCATTTGCTAAGCTAAAATGGCCGATTTGAATGAGAAAAAGGAAGACGAATCAGTTAAAATCTGAAGGATGGTGAAGAAATGAGGATAAATTGCAAGAATATATAGACGACAAAGGGGTGATCAAATGGGAATAGTAAATTTTTTTTTCCTTAAATGTTTTCGAAGCATTGGAAATTATAAAGGGAAAATATTAATTGGATAGGATTAGAAGAATTTGATTAAATTATGGGCTTGAAAGAAGCAATCAAATTTTTAGTATTTAGGATTTGGTGAAATGTATTATTATGCCTAAAATGAAGCCAAAAATGGGTAGATTTTTCTAAAATTGATGATTAATAAATTGGTCGATTCATTTTTATTAATTATTATTGTTAGTTTTCTTTTTATGGGGATATTGTTTTGGAGAAGTCAATGGTTTTTTGTTTATAAATATGGTAAGAGATTCAAAATGTGAGTARATTTGATACAAATTTGTAGAAAACCACAGAATTAAGCTTGGTTTTGTTGGATATGTTTCTATAGTTGGTGTGAAAATTCACTCCCAATATTACTTCTTTAGTAACCTAATGAATTAGATTGGTGTAATAATATTGTTAATTATTTAGTGGATTTTTTAAACTAGGGTTACCTCTAATGGAGATAATTGAGGATGGGGCTATAAGAAAAAAGAAAAAAACAA